AGAGATTTGACAATGGTTTGTTGTTAATTCAGCCTTGCGCTTTGCACGTGTATGATCACACGATTCACAGATTGACCTTTGTACCAGACCTTTGTACTCCAGGAGACTTTGCACAACGTTACTCTTGTCCTAACGCTTGTTCCATTAACTTAAGTTTATAATGCTATGGGCATGTATAAACTTGCTTCAAACTGATTGTCAATTTCCCGTTTGTAATCTAAAATGACTGAAAAACGGCAAACTTCGCAAGGCTATATTATCCGCATTTTACAACATTTTGTAACGAAACTCCAGACTTGTCTAGATCAAAATTTCACTTAAAAGGGGAAAGGTCTATTGAAACGAATTTTAGACTTTTGTCTGGAACACCAACATGGCCGCCATGGCTTTTGTTGAGTTGGTCCCTGGAGAATGAGTACAAACGATCTATAGTGTTGTAAACAACTCAATAATTAAACATTGTTTTTCGAAGAGCGATCTTGTTTTTAGCCACATAATAAATAACTTATTGACTGAGCTTGTTCGGTCGCAGTAGTATAGTTTCGTGTCTTTTTTCTTTTGTACATGGAACTCGCCTTTATGGCTTAGTCCATACTGTATACAAACGAAAGTAGACTTAGAATTGTTTACTTCTGAAAAGCGACTCTATACTTTTGTGTGCGAGTCCACTCATTTGCATCCGTCAGAAACACAAAATCGCCGACAAAATTGCCAGTGTGAACGAGGTTTAATGTCCTCCTGTTCGGATCTCTCGCTCAGCAGTCAATAACACGTATGTACTTACCACTACACGAGACAGCACTAAGTTGATCAACCCATCTAGCAATCAAATTATCAAATGTCCTCTGGAAAACATAATCCGAATCTGGATCTGAAGCGATTTCTTTCAACTGTGAAACACTGATACCACTGCCTACACCGATACTAAAAATACTTATACCAATATTCTTCAGTGCTTCTGCGGGGGGTCTAACGGAAGCACCTTGAGATCTACCATCTGTAATTAACACTAAAACTTTTGGGATACCAGCATCAGTTCTCATTCCCGCTGGAGGTGTGAAAATTTTGCTACGGAGGTGGTTTAATGCATCAGCTGTGTACGTATAACCGCGCCGGTATGGTATTCTATCCACAGCATTTTTCATTCCAGATTTGGTGAAATGTCTGATAAGATTAAATTCTGTTACTGGTTTGGTAGAGAATTGGACGACACCAATATGTGTGCCTGTTGTGCCAATATTGAAGAAGTCCACAACTTTTTTAACAAATTCTTTCACCTTCCCAAAGTTGTTGGCGCGAACACTACCAGAACCATCCAGTAGAAATACGAGATCAACGGAGGTTTGACACACTGAAATATAAAAAGGTTTTCATATTGTGTGATATAATATTTCAAATCCGACTATGAGGAATGAACTACAATCTTGGACAAAATAGTTTGGCAAAACTTATTTAATCTTATTCTTTCTTGTTCTGTTGTCTTATTTTCCGTCATATATAGGCAGGTGTCTACTTTATATCAAATCTTAGGCACGCTCGTCCCTCCCCCTATATCAATGTTGCTATTTTTGGTTAAATCTTCAGGGGAAAACAAGTGTATTGGCGCAAACAACATTGATATTGGGGGAAGGGAAATAGAATGACATTTTTGCCATATATTTTGTCCAGGATTGTAGATTTCAAGTCCGCGGCCCAATTTGACCAAGCCCGAGGCAAAGTCGAAGACTGGATAAAAATGCGATGACTTAAATTTAGTTCCGTCCGAATTTGAAACGACATCTTGTTACGAATATATCACTATACTTAAAGTGAGGTGAATTAATTTTGATCCAGTCCTAGGGTCTCCAGTCCTCAGCCTTAAGGCGTATTTCAACCCTTTTAATTGAAAAAAACTAACTAGGAAAATCAATTAAGCATAATTTAAAATCAGCAAAACTTACTGTTTTTAATAACATTTTAAAATATTTTTATTGTTAAAAACATCGAGTTTACTCATCTTGAATTATGCATAATTGATTTTCCTAGTTAGTTTTTTTCAATTAAAAAAACCATCATTCAAAAGGCTGAACTGTGCCTTTAATTAAGGAATAATACTATGGTTTTATGAACTGATAATTTCATTAGCGATATGAAAAGCTGGAATTAGCTCGGGGGGAAATCGGGAATTTATGGTTTTATTTTGGACGTCAAAATCCGTCATATAATTCGGACTACACTTTTCTCATAGGCCAAAAAATTATATTTCACCCAACTGCAATTAAATCACATACACCAAACGTCGCTTACCATCGGGGATGACGGAGGCACGTATATAATCTACATTGGTGTATTCGACCCAATCAAATCCCGCCTCGATTGCAAGACCCGCCAAACGACTCAGTTTCCCGCGGTCACCATCAGATATTCGAAGACGCACTGAACGACCTGGAATTAAAACAAAACACAAATTTAAAACTTGTTACGCAGTCAGCCGAGACGCCCTGGTAACGAAGATGGCACTTCAAAGGTTTCAATCTAGCTCGGCCAATCAGCGCCTTGCCCTAGGCCACGAAAATGCCACTAACGAGACGCGGCATTCAGACTTAAGAAATGTCGCCTAATATATAGGAAACATTTTGCTGAATTATTTTTTTCCCGGCTAACACCCTGTTAGTTTAATTAAATTCCACATCTAAATCACATTGTTGTTTCGTGATGTTTTGAAAACATTTTAATTGTGTTCTCTGCTGATAAGTACAAATATCCGACGTTTCACAATGTTTACTTATACATGGAGGCAAATTCCGGGTTTATTCAAACACTGAAATGAATGTCTTTAAAGTTCACTTCGACGTGACCTCATCTTTTAATAGCGCAGAGCAGTGTTTGCAAGTTTTAACACAGAAGTATGCTATTTTCTGCTTTGATGAACAATACATTCATTCTTACCATCATCGATGGGCAAGTTTCAAAAGGTCAATATTATTGTCTAGGTCTAATTTCGTGCACTCGATCTGTGTTTATTTTCTGTCGTAAGAGCAAAATAAATTTTATTAAAATGCTCAATCATACTGTTTCGTGTTCCATTTATATTCTTATGAACACTAAGTCTCTGTGATCACAGTAGAAATTTTGCATCGGTAAATTCTAAGGTTTGCCCTGTAACACTAAATCAGTTTCCTCAAACATTTCTTACAAATCCTTCAAAACTTAGAATTTACTCATGCAAAATTCCTACTGTGATCACAAATGTTCCTACTGTGATCAAGCGAACGAGTTGAAACTTATCTAGAGTTGCCGACTCAGAAAACCAAGAGAGAGTGAAATAAAGGATTCAGTGCAAAAGTCTTCTCATGCATCTATGCAGTAAATCAGTGCAATCGTATTAACACAAGCAGTTATTAAATGTTAAACCAGGGCTTCACTGCTGCTCGGCCATTTAATACTTTCTCTTACGAAAATGATTTGGCAAGCATATAGTCGGCTAAACACCTAATACAAGTGCTAATTTTTCTAATGTCAACACAAGTTCATAAAGTAATCCCTCGCATACTCAAGTTAAAGAAGGCTTCATGACCACTGTCTGAATCTTTCCTAACAGCTCGTGCTGTTCTACAAGCAGTACTTGAAACAAAATACCAAAAACATTCGCAAAAGAAAATTAAAAACAGTTCAACATACCTTCGTAATGTAAGGACAGTGGATCATTTGTGTTAACCTGGTCGGTCCAGGCTTGAAGAACCCTCACAGCTTTTCCGGACCATTCAGTGCGCACTCGCGACGCCAGAATATCAAGTTTACTTTTAGCGCGCGCTGTCATGCGTCGACAATCCTCATTTTCATACTGTGCTTCATCGTTCGTATTTCTGATCAAAATTTTGCGAAAACGCCCCGAATTTCGTGGGATCACATCTCGAATCTGTCCGCAAACTTTGTTTTCGCCACCCGTTGGAAAGCTTTGGCGATGGTTAAGCCGAGAAGGCGGGTTCTGTGAGTTGACAATTCCCACAAACAATAAAACTAAGAGAAAGACAGGAGCCTGCATCTTAGATCGTTTGCTTTTTTGCCAAGATCGACTTGTCCGGGTAGTTTTTATTGACTCGTCCTTGTAAACTTTCTCTCTTTAATTTCTTTTTCTGTCAACGTTCTTGTATAGGATTGATATCTTCGTCGGCTGACAATGGTGTTGTGTATACTGTCCACCCTGCCTCTTCGAAGTCCAGTCCTGTGTGGATAAATATCGAGAAAGATTGCTAGTCTTATACCACAGCGGTCACGCGCGACGGAAGTAAACAGTGGTTACTAAAATGGTAAGGTTTGACGAGGTAACACTGCCAACGCAATTGCGCGAATTTTTTTGCGCCCGGAAGGAAGCGCTGGTTTAAGGTGCGAATTTCGAGCGCGCGTAATTTATGCAAATTTCCATGTAGTTTGTAGGAGAATACAGAATAATTAAACTGAACATAAATAACTTTGTATGTACTAGTTAAACGGATGCGAATGTTTTAACGTACTTAAAAAACGATCCATCTTAGGACTTCATGGGCGAAGTAATTTTAGAAATAAACATTGTCTAAGCCGAGAAAATCAAAGCTGAAGTTTATGTAGTAAATGAGGACAAATCGTTATCCGATTTACAAACATTGATTAAACATTCATTTCTTTTGAATTTTCTTCATGAATTATTGAGCATTTGAAGCATATTTAAAATCTTATTACATATTATGATTGAGGCTATCGGAGCTACATTTTATTCTAATACTAGTAATAGTAGACATGATTAAGTATTGGCTTAATACAATAGGTGAATATAAAAATTGTTTTGGATTGTAACACCAACATATTTATTAGTGGGTTGGTGTTTAAAGTGTTTAATCCACTATTTGGGTTTGTACTTTTCTGTGTAAACAGAAAATGTTTTTAATATTAATATCATTCAAAAATTGTCTACCATCTCGATCTGGACCTCTCATAACGACATAAGATATTTCGCAGTAATTTGGGCAATTACATTTCCATATATATGCGAGATTCCTACGTACGTACCTATTCCTACATCTTGTCACTCTGACTTCAAATTTTGAGTTGAGTTGAGCAATCAGAAACACGGCCGCCCACGTGACGTACTCTCACGTGACAAGAGCTAAAAGCCAGCAGGGTTAGGGTACGGTAGGGGTTATGCATCAATTCACGTTTTTCCGGTTTCGATAATGGTGTGAAGCAATGACTCCCACTGAATGGCTCATCAAAGGCACAGGGTCACCTGCAGAGCGATGCGACTTTATGTCGTCAAGACAATATACAATTTGACATTATTTTATTTTCAGACGACCGCGCAAGGACCAAATTATTTTAATAAATTTAAAAACCTCATTAATAATTCACGATCAAAAGTCATGTTAATTCACACAAACTTTTGTTTTGATTTTTTCGGATTAGACAACATTAATTTTTAAAATTGCTGCGCCAATGCCACGATGCGACAACCGAGATAGATAGTACTTATTTAAAATGAGGATTCGGTGTAAATTAGGCAGAATTTTATTATATGACCAGAAAGAACCATATAATGTCACCATTGCTAAACTATCCCAAAAGATGACCTTAATGTGCTTAGCTCAGTGATATACGAGCTCGTTGAAGATCATGCCTACACTTGCCCTCCTGTGATGAAATATTTCCTTCCTCGGAGTCGGCTGCTACCTTGGCACAACTGCCAACTATGTTTGGACATGCATTACAGCATGGGGCAACTATAGTTTGTGATAATTAAATGTCAATATTTTTGTTTAAAAGTGAAGAATGTTAAAAACGAGAGGAATGAAATCTTGCTTAATGTTTCAAAGTTTTGATATCCTAATTAGGTCCTCTGTGTCAATTCGGCGCACATTTTTGAAAAATCCAATCTTAACACACTTTTGGAAAGCTACAACATATACAATATTCTAAATTCCGTTGCAATTTCATCGATAATTTGTGAAGAAAACACCGTCAATGGGCTTGTATATCCAATATGAAGAACGTAAAATTCACTTTTTACATCAAATATCGTGCGCGTCTTTAATTAATTCACATTATTCCAAAGAATACGAGCATTTTTCACAAGAGGTATCACAAGCTTTAGTCATTGGCGCAGAATTCGCGTCGGTGCAATACGAGACATACGATGCCAGATTTGTGTCTGATAAATTATTAATGAGTTCAAGAAAATTTCCTAGATTCAGGATTTCCCCTTCGTATATTGTAAAAGTTCCCGTGTGCATGGGCGTTTAGAACTTAAAACGCCTTGTAATATAATTTTTCAGGAACTTAGCTATAAAAAGAATTGATAATCTCTTCCTTCCTATTTTATATACACCCGTGTCTGGGGTAAAAAATATAGAACGAAAGTGATCTGCCCTCTTAATGATTTTAATCTGCCGTAATATCCGATTCACTTCCTATATGGTGGAACTAAACTGGGTTGTACGCTTTGATATGAGAACTTGTTCCTCTTTTCATACAGATTTTCCTTATTCATTTCCTGATACAGCGTGTTGTGTATCATTAAAACTCCCTGCTTTCCCGGGCAATTCCCGCGCCCAAATTTTAATTTCCTGACATGAGAATCGTCTTTACACGAGGATTAGAGTGCATGATAGTTGCATGGCATGCAGTCACGCGACCCTGGACTTTATATAATATAAATTATGTCATATATACTATAATCCATATAGCTTGTGAAACGTCTCGATGAGAACACTCGTATTCTTCAACAATTTCAAATAAATTAATGATATTTAGTGAGAAAATTAAAGTTAAAGTTTATGTAAATCAGCATGATTCTGTATCAAATATACAAACATCTTCAATTTCTTGTGTTTTCTTCATGAATTATTAATGAGTAAACAACGTAATATATTAAATATATATTAAAAGGAGAAAGCCAGCGCATATATAAAATACCGAAGAGTGTGTTGAAAAACGAGGCACCAACAGAGTGTTTTCACATATTTTGAGGCGTTTTATACGCTGATAATAAACAGCTTTCGAGTTTGTTATTACTTCTCAAACGGACTTGTATTTAAAGAGAAATTCAACGCGAGAGTTAATTTATGGCATTTATTACCGTGGTATCAAGACAACGATACAGTGCTGGGGACGGTTGTTCAAAGGTGGGTTAGTGCTAACCCTGGGTTAAAATTTAACCCCCTGTTTTGGTTTGTGTATTTCTGCACGTCTGTTTATTTCAAAACTTCAGAGATAAAAACTCCTATCAAGATCTCTGAAGAAATATTTCCAAATTTATAGACAAGCTGTCAGGAAGTTTGCTTTGAATTTTAGGTTAACCTAGGGTTAAGCTAACCCAGCTTTGAACAACTGGCTCCTGGTTTCCATTGTGTCTTGCTCAGGAATTATTAATGGTTGAGAAAGAGATTTTAAAATATCTCAAAAACAAACTACGTTTCAAATTCGTTTACGGCCTCGTTTTTCAACATACTTTTAGTTCTTTCAAATCCCTGAAGTCCAAAATTGAATTGATTCATTGAATAGAATTTTAATGCCCTTGCTTTTGAATCTGTATTTTTGTGACTTTTGCCTAGATAGTTTGGTGCCATGTTATATACCTTACAAGGTCTTGAAAGAGTTAACCACAGAATAAATAAATGCCAACAATACTTTCAAATCCCTGCATCATATTAGCAACTTCGAAATGAACCTGAGCTCAACAAATATTTACGTAAGCTTGAAGTCATATTGCACCATGGCATTATTCAGAAAAAATACCACTCAGCATTTTGGCTAATATATACAAGATGATATTTTTACCCTTCAAATCTTTCAAAAACAAAATGTACAGCCATGCTCTTAGTTAGTTGAATGCTTAAAAATTGGCTGGTCTGTGATCTCAGTTTTGGAATTTTGTTAATATCCACATGATATTTCGAACCAGTAAGATCAGTATAAATAGAGTGGGGGGTCTAAAAGTGGCAAATGTTTCGACAGCCAACTACAGGAATTTCCTCTGCAAGAATCACAAAATTTGTTTTGTACAAAAGTCAGGTTGTGGGGGTGGCATAACTCAGACCTGCCCTCCCCACTCGGAGATCCAGACCCTAGCAAATGGTTCACGTTTTGAAATGTATGTAGATGTGTCAACCAACTCATCAGGCTACCAACTCATCTGATCAAGCACAACTTTTGAGGTCAGATTCAACCTTGCTAGCCAGGCTCATTATTTATCACAAGATGAAAGTTACCATATTAGTCATTGAATAGTTCAACGTGGTAGAAAAATGCAGCCCAACTAAAGCTACATCCCAATGTAGTTTGTGTCATAACTACTCTGAGAAACACTTCAACATGTGAGAAAAGACTATCATGAAGTTGGTTGATTATGACATTGACAAAGTGTGACATTTGACTCACAGGCTTATTAAACCAATACACACTTCCTGAAAGTATGTCACCTTGAAGATAGTCTGAGCCTCGTTTTCATGATTGAGATGTTAGGCTTTAACTAATGTTAATACATACATGAAAACGTTCTATACTAGCCAAAGTTACATACTTTCTGGAAGGATGCATTATTAAAGTGGCAGCACTCTCCCCTTCATGGTTAAAATCCTAGCTGGGCCCCACTTTATTTGTTTACTCTATCTAATGAACTCATGGTGCATTGCCATTTAAAGGGTTAATTTGACTTGCATTTTTCTACGATAGAACCTGCACTTTATGCAGCCTATTTATACATGGAACAATATTTCATTCAGGGGCTGCGGAACCGGGGGGGTGGGGTGGGGGGGTGTAATGGGGGCATGTGCCCCCCCCCCACTTTTTTTAAAAGTGAAAAAAGTGTCCTTTTTCTTGGCTTAAATGCCCCATTTAAAGAACAAAAAAAGTATTTCTTGAATAAACGCCCTCTTTTTCTGGAAAGAAAATGCCCTTTTCGCAGTAGTAATGTACGAGTCAAATCCAACCGCGATCAGGCCCCCCGGGGAATTTGACTTTTGAAAAAATAATTGGTCAAATGCCTGCCCAAACAGGCAGAAACCACAGTCAAATGCCCTGCTATAGGGGTAGTCCTGGTTCTGGAATTTTGGCCAAAATTAAATTGAACAAGTATTTCAAGATTAAAAAGAATGAAAAATAGGCCAGACAGTTCTTTTTTTTCAACCGGGCATATTGTATCATATATCTATGATTGGTATTTGTGATTCAGAAGCAATTTTTAAACTATCGAAAAGACGTAAAATAGAAAACTCCTAAATGCTAGAGTGTACACATATTTTTAGGGAAAACCGCTGAGCAAGTTGTTGTCAAGTGGTCAAATGCCCTACGGGGCCGTCAAATGCCCGACCGGGCCATCAAATTCCCGCCTATACAGAGGTAATGTGAAGTCAAATGCCCTGGGGTTGTCCAGGGGGGAGGCTGATCACGGTTGGATTTGACTCGTACATAAAGACTCTGTAAAGGCCATTTCCGATGTTATAGAAACTCCATATTTTCAAAAATTTCCATTCAGCTCATGAAAGTCATAAAATCGTTTGATTTTGGTCATATACAAAAGTGCCCCTTTTGGTCAATGCCCCTGCACTTTCGAAATGCTTCCGCGGCCTCTGATTTCATTTGTTGAGTTTGCTTACTTTGCTATATCTAACCGCTTTCTGAAATCTGAATATACTATATTCAATATTTCAATATAGACAACTTTTATTATACTTTAATATACAACAACTGAAGAACTTCTTGTTTTCCCTGCAACTTTAAAACTTCGAGCCAAAGCGTGAACAAAGTAAAACACTTTTACTGTATAAAGAATCATATCAACATGATAGTATTAAAACTTGTCATTTGACTCACCTAAAATCTTGAATTCTTTGCCATCAATGTGCAAATACATCTTCAAAACTGGTACAAAACACAGAGCCCAAACAAGCAAAACCTTCTGGTTGTATAAAACAGAAAAATTTAAAGACATTTCGGTTTATTTACTTGTCCAAAATCCAAGCTTTCTTGCACGTGTTTTTCAAAAATGGAGATTTAAATTTTCGCGGAAGCTTCGACTGGTCGGGAACTGTCGGAACAATTCGGAAGCATGTCGGAATACTAGTTTTCATACTTCTCGAGTAAATTGCGAGCATGCGAGCGAAGCTCTGGGGCAATTGTTCGAAAGTAGACCTGTTCAACAATATTAACGCCATCTTTAAATTCACAATGCATTGTGGTCTTCCAAGGAAATAACTGGAATGAAATTATACAAAACTATGATGAGCACAAAAAAGTTAGGAATAGTTTTTATTGACATTATTGTAAGAGAATGATGAGACAAATCTACAATATATATTAATAATTATTAATAATACTAATGTTTAATTGTACGTGTTATGTGTGCGTATAAATATTTATTACAAAATTTTTAAAACTTCTTTAAAAGCAATTTAGGCAAAAGTTGCACATGTATATAGCCAAATTTTAATGGCGAATCACTCACGAATGCTAAGACTAATGGTTATATGATTATGTAATTCTTTCAATCATGTGACTGTATTGCAGTAATACACTTTCAGTGCAAACGGATGAAATTTTCAATGGAATATTATTTCATACTTCCATTTAAGTATATCTGCTCACAAAATAGTAATCCCAAGTCTGTCCACAAAGTCTGTCAGCAAAACATCATTTTCACATCCGTCAAAATGAATCGGAGTTGACCGTAAATACTCGATAAGTTTTCCGATGGTCGGAAAGCCTATAGCATCATCGTTAGATCCCAGCGCGGCGACGAAGTCGTTCTGGTAGCGGTCGACCTCGATATGGCGCACTTTTGGGCCGCCTTCGGGCGCTCGGACACTAATGTAGAACTCAGTCTCCTTCAGCCCCGAGCGGACTATAAACGTGCCAGCGGACACATTGTCATTAAGGATTTCTTCTGCTCTTTCACGCGAAATCTTTCCATAATACCAGGGCGAGTTTTTGACCTAAAAGACAAGAAGAACAGTTTAAGAGAGGAATCTTTTGTATGTTACGTAACACGGGCTCAAAACTAATATATAGAGGATATTTCACGGTGGCGCGGAAATATGACTTTTATTTTCGAGTGGTGAAAACAATATTTTACGAACGAGCGCAGCGAGTGAGTAAAATATTGTTTTCAACACGAGAAAATAAAAGTCATATTTCCAAAGCCACCGTGAAATGTTCTTTTTATTATATGTCCAAAATAAATTTCATCAACTAGATGTTTTGTAGCTCACCGTACGGCAACAATGTTATGTCTCTCCGCTCGTTTATAGAGGCTAAATAGTCGCTGAAGATCGCCAAATCGGACTTAGTCTTCCTTTTTGTGTTTTCATTTTCATTTTCTTCAGAAAACCTTGCCAAATCAGCGTCGGAAACATTAACAAAATGTCGAGAATTTGCCATATTGAATATTCAAAACAGAAACGGCAAAATGGCGGGAATTAGCGTGGGCCCCGCGCGAGACGTTCCCGCGTAAGATATGATTTCATATTTCACTATAGTGAAATACGGGAAATATCAGTGGCGTATTTTACGGTATTTTACTCATATCCATATAATAAATAATAATATAGCCTTGCGAAGTTTGCAATTTTCAGTCATTTTGGGTTACAAACGGGAAATTGACAGCCTCGAAGGGTTTGGGGCTGTCAATTTCCCGTTTGTAATCTAAAATAACTGAAAATTGCAAATTTCGAAAGGCTATATTATCCGCATTTTACAACATTTCGCAACGAAACTTTGGAATATTACTAATTTGGTGATGCTCTTTCAAGCTGTGATGAAATTTTTGTCTAGACTTGTTCAGATCAAAATTTAGTCTATTACGCAAATGGTCAATTGTATTAAAAAGGTTGCAAACTGTATAAACCACAAAATAAAGCTAAAACAAAGTAATTATGAGAGGTACACCGGTTTTGAACACTTTCCGTCGCAAATACACGACATTGAAAATAATTGCCTCGTAATTATTGAACCAACCAACCTCTTCCATGAATTCCACTTTATGTTTAGTAAACTCTGGATTCTTCACCATAAACCACCCCCCTCCTTGAAACTCTTCAGCGTCCCCCCCGTCCGTCTCATCTGTATATGCAGTGTTGAAGACTCCACGAACTTCCGCTTCGTCCAAGTCTCTCACCGACGCGGCCTTTTTCCGGAGTGCGGTTTTAGTGGGCGAGCGTTCCGCCATTGTCATGAAACTAAACGTTTGAGGAGCATCGTGTTTTCCTTTCCTATAGAGAATAAAAAGATGGTAGATTTTAGAAAAGCGTAGACATTTAACTTTGTTGGTTGAGAAAATATCAATTTCTTTCATTATATATAGAAGTATACATACGCAAAAACACACAAGTTGTTACAGGTCTGCAAACAAGTTGTTACAAATCTGTTCACAAGCTGTCGACAAGTTGTGTTCGCACTGCTTGTTCCCAGTTGTTGTAACAAGTTTGGAACAAGCTCTTAACAACTTGTAACAAACTAGATGGCATTATCAGACTTGTTGCAAGGATGTTCTAACAAGTCTGATACGGTCATGATATAACAAGAATGTTACAAGGATGACGACACAAGGTTGTAACAATATTGTTATATCATGAATGTATCAAACTTGTTGGAACAACTTTGCAACAAGTCTGATAAAATCAACAAGGTTGCTACAATTGTTAACAAGTTGTTCCATATTTGTTGACAACTTGGGACAAGCAATGCGAACACAACTTGTTGATGAAATATGACACAGTAATATACTTACCAAAAATGACAGAATTCCAACTTTACCCTCAAGTGACTTTTATGAATATCAAATCAATTGTGCGAAAATGTTTCATATAAATATTGTGTATTTCACATTGTGTGCAAATACAAACGAACAGTGACTATTTTTACAGTGCAAATTGGTGCAGTGCGTGTATGGTGGTATTAATTGACGAATTTAAAGTTTATTGGTGCATTTAAAGTTTATATTTATAGTGGTGGTGCATTTATCGTTATTTTTAAGGTACATTTATAGGGTGCGATTACGTCAGGTGCATTAAATGAAAATTACAATATTCCTAATTAAATAAATAATCTCCAAATTTTATCCTTAATGTTCTCCACAAAGTAGAGAAGTTCTATTCAAACATGTTTTCAATGTTTGATCATTTGTTTCGAAAAACTATAGTAATACTTGTACGAGTAAGCCTGGCTATCGTTAAAAAATGTCCATCTCAATTTAAAAACAACTTTAGTACAGAAAGAAAAAGCTTGAAAGATCATTGAAAGCCGGATTTAAAAAAATTAAAAGCAACGTTCATTGAGAGTAGTTTTGTTTCGTCCGACAAAAACCCCTATGCATAAACTTTGCAACAATTATCACTGGCGACATGGGGAACAGTGGGATTTTCCAAACAATGAAAAGACAATGAAATATTGTGATTCCTGGATCATGACTGGATGACAGTATTGTTACGCTCTTTTGAAAATTGAAATGGACATTTTTTATCTGAAGGCAAACACGCAGCAAAACTAGAGTTGGATATTAAACAACATTATGGAACATTTAACTACATTAGGTGATATAAAACAATCTAATCCCCGTCTTTTCCAATATAATCCTTCAGTAACAACTCCGAGTCGGTGTCTTCGAAACGCGTGGGAGTTGATCGTAAATACTCGAGGAGTTCGTGAAAGGTCGTGAACTTCATTGCCTGGGCCTCGGGGCCACATACGGCGACGAAGCAATCGTCATGACGATTCACGGCAATATGGCGATACTTCGACCCATCATCGGAGATCCTGGCCGTAACATAAAACTCCCCCTTGTCTATTCCGGCGCGAACTAAATATGATCCACCCGTTTCCTTCATTTCCAAGATATCCTCTGCTTTGTTTCGGGAAATCGATCCGTGAAACCATCCTGCAGTTTCGAGCTAAAACACAATGGAATAGATTTGTTAGAAGAAAATTGAAGGTGCAGTAAAAGTAATCAGGGCCGTACACAACGGGGGGCGGAAAGGCAACTGCCCCCCCCGTAGAAAAAACTATATTTACGATTTTTAGAATGTAAGTGAAAGTAATTCCAATATTCTACACTACACTAACAGTTCTAAACTCCCTAGAGTAGCCTCTTGTTCGCCAAACTTTAGTTGGTTTTATGTAATTTGTAATATTAATATAATACAATAGATCTAATGTAGCTACAGTAATTGGACTTTATGCAATTTAAAAAACATTTTTTTTTATTGCTAGTTCACTAAAATTCTAGCCAATTTGAATAACACTAAACAGTAGAACTGACCATTTTAATAATCGTCTTTTAGAGTATGCTCTTGTCTTTTGTTCACCAAGTTTTAGTTGATTTTATGTAATTTGCAATATTGGTGTAATATAGCTACAGTAATTAGACCTTTAATTGATAAACATAATTCAACCTATGACTGCAAGGCTTTTTCAATTAAAAACATCTATCTATCTCTATCTAGAGGTCCAAGAAAGTCACTAGAATTAACCCCATTTTATTGGTCCAGTGCTACTACAGAAGGAACCTGAACTGAGCAACATTATGAGAAAGTGTTTAACTTGAATACAGCGCTATGTCTCGATCGACTATATGGTTTCACAAACATCTTAATTTATCTTCTTACCTCGTTCATATAATCAGGTTCAACAAGATTCGTTTTGGAGATAGACTTGGGAATGTTAACCATAAATGAGCCATCATTGACGTCTGAATCTCGTCGCTCATTTTCGAGATTCGAGAACATTTTGTTGCCAATTCCACGCATTTCGGTATCGTTTATCTCTTTCATGGAAATATCACGGCGTGGGCTACGTTTGTTCTTCTTGGAATTGGGCGTGAGGATCGCACGGACTCCAATACTAAAATCTCTATCCTTATTTCTCCTGTTTAAAAATGCGGTTATGGTTAAGAAATCCTGCCGAAGCAGGAGATGAACTTGTTTTGGAATTTTCAGACATTTACCTCCGTGCAATGAATCAAATCAGTTATAATCACGATTTCCTCTTTGAATTGATTTTCGAATATTCAATAACGGTGCTGATGATTTGTGCAAGAGACCATTAGTGCATAATCAGATATCATTAGTGCGTAATCAAATATCATTAGTGCGTAATCAAATATCATTAGTGCGTAATCGGAGATGAGTAAATTATCAGATATTAGTGGTGAATAATCAGATACCATTAGTGTGTGATTAGATATCATCAGTGAACAATCATATATCATTAGTGCGTAATCGGAGACAATTAGTAAATAATCAGATATCATTAGTGAGTTATCAGATATCATTAGTGAATAATCAGATATTATTAGTAAATAATTAGATATCTATAGTCAATAATCAGATATCAATAATGAATAATCAGATATAATTGGTGCATAATAGGAGATAATTAGTACGTAATCAGATATTATTAGCGAATAATCACATATTATTAGCGAATAATCACATATCATTAGTGAATAATCAGATATCATTGGTGTATAATCGAAGATAATTAATTAATGAGCTAAATAAATTATTAGTGATCTAATAAATTATTAGTGAGCAATCAGAAACTATTATTTAGCAATTAGTAATTGAAGATAATTAATGAATAATCATGCATCACTAGTAAGTAATTAGAGATCATTAGCGAGTAATCAGAGATCATCAATTAATTATCAGAGATAATTTGTTGGTAGATTAGTTTGTAATCCGATTATTAATTATTAAGAAGTTAAAGATTTATTTCAATGCTGTCGAGTTAGATGATTAATTAGATTAGTAATAACATTATTTGATTTTGTTAATTGATTGTAATCGCGTTAAATGATTCATTAGATTAATAATTATGTTAATTATTTGTTAAATGATTGTGATGAATTACTTTGAGTGACGAATTGCGTGAATAATGGATAATTAAATGAATATCTTGCTGGTGATATAATGGATTGGGATGATTGATCAATGGATGTGGTTGAAACCAACTGCTTGATTGATTGATTAGACAATTGCTTGAGTGAATCTTGTTGGGTGAATCTTTGATCGATTGCAATTTTGATTGTGAATCGATTCACTTGATTATTCTAATGATCATTGATTGCATGCTTGAGTGAATCACTGATTGATTGATTAGATTGTGATTTTCTACTTGATGATGATCACTATATATAATGCGATAGTAGTAAACCTCAACTCTTTGGACATTTAACATACCTTGTTCGCATAAAGACGAATAAAATCATTGCAGCCACCATAAGGAGAAGAATTACAGCTATGATAATACCAGCAATCACACCAGCGGACAAATTATCCGATTCTGAATTATGAAAAAAGTTATAAGAGAAATATTCTTAGAATCTTAAAGACTGATTTTCAACTTAACTAGACTGAAGTCCAAATAGAATAAATACCTCTTTTGGCTTTATTTGGAGTTCGTGCTATTAAGAAACAGAAATAAAACAATATAATTAGAAACATTTTAGCTTTTTCCTTTGAACAAATGTAGAAAATGGTCCTTCTAAAGCAGGTAGCAGAAACTTTTCTAAACACGTGTCCCAACTGGTAGCTCATTCTTGTTTTTTAAACGTCATCTCACCTCGGATGTCAGTAACAGTCATGCCATTCTTCCGAAGTTTCTCCAAAATACTTTGACTGTTCAGAACATCAATTGTTTGGGTAGCTGTGACATCTTCGTTGTTGGTATTGCGAGCGATAAAAACAACGGTCACACTAACAAATTAAAATAGATAAATTGGTAAATGTATGGGTTAAATTAGCTCAAATTTCCTACAAGTATCCAGTATGAATAAATAGACAATTTCCATTGTTGACTAATTTCAAAACTAGGCAAGGAGATGCAAATAAATCACCACAGCTAGAAAGAACACATTAAAATGAGTAAATTTGCAAAGTTTGGTTGCGAAATGTTGTAAAATGCGGAAAATATAGCCTTGCAAAGTTTGCAAATTTTGTATACTTTTGTATTGCGTGCGGAAATTGCTACCATTTTCGGCCCAAATGCGGTAGGAATTTCCACACGCAATACAAAAAGTATACAACACTTGCAAACTTTGCAAGGCTATATTTTTCGCATTTTACAACATTTCGCAACCAAACTTCGTAATTTTACTCATTTTAGTACGCTCTTTCTAGCTGTGGTGATTCTCCTTGCCTAGTTTTAAAATTAGTCTATAATGAAAATTGTCTATTACCACAAGTAAAATGGACAATCATTTATGTAGTATGAAGAAATTCCCTTACTCGATGCCATTAGGTAGAGGAGTTTCTGTGGTTTGTGGTCTCGTGATACGATTACCATCATCACCAGTACATGACTGAACCTTTCCTTCAGTCAACATGGCGTTGCATACAAACATCCTGTTAGGCGATTTCTTGCAAACCAACACGATAGTCATGTCTAATGTCGCGCCTTTGTCCTCGTAATCTATGACACGAACTGAACATGCGCCGTAGTCTACGGATGCTGTCGTGTCACGGCGTTTACGTCTCCCTGTAAATGAAAGCTCGACAGTTAGGCGAAATTATTTCATTTCGTAAAACCTGGTTTACACTATTTTGCTTTGTTAAATTCTAAGTTTTGAAGGATTTGTGAGATGTCTTTGAGGAAACTGATTCAATGTTCAACACTGAGTTAGGCCCCTCAAAGATACAAATCAGTCAAAACTTGGAATTTACCAAATCAAAATTGCTACTGTGATCACAGAAAAATTGAAAGTGTAAACTAGGCTCAAGCGAAACTATTTGTTCTATCTTTATCATATCAAGTACTATCTGGCATTTTGTGAATCAAAATACACTTGAATATATTTTATATATTTTATCATGAATGTACTCTTCTTACCTTGGACGTCTTGTGATCCCTGCAAATAAATACAAATATCATTGCATTAGTTACGGTGCTTTTTTTCTCGGACGGCAAAAAGTCAGGCCTAGCCAGAGGGATATTATAGCAACAAACAAAAAACACAGACAAACAAACAAACAAAACAAAACAAACCAAAACCAAAACCAAACCAAACCAAACCAAACCAAACCAAACCCAAACCCAAAAACAAACCCAAAACCAAAAACCAAACCAAAACCAAACCAAAACCAAACCAAAACCAAACCAAAAGAAAGAAACCAACCAAACCAAACCAAACCAAACCAAACCAAACCAAACCAAACCAAACCAAACCCAAAACCCAAACCCAAAACCCAAACCCAAAACCAAAAACCAAACCAAACCAAACCAAACCAAACCAAACCAAACCAAACCTAACCAAACCAAACCAAACCAAACCAAACCAAACCAAACCAAACCAAACCTAACCAAACCAAACCAAACCAAACCAAACCAAACCAAACCAAACCAAACCAAACCAAACCAAACCAAACCAAACTAAACTAAACTAAACCAAACCAAACCAAACCAAACCAAACCAAACCAAACCAAACCAAACCAAACCAAACCAAACCAAACCAAACTAAACCAAACAGTCCAAACTAGCTTCACGCTGACCTCCATTACATTGAGTTTGGCTCAGAAACGTGAATAAAATAATGATCTCAACTTTTTAAAGTTTATTCAATTTTGCGGCTATAAGTACATTTTTTCCATATATTTTAGTAATTTTACTAAATATTGTGTAATATATTTCGGTGTACGGCCGTTTCAGGCCATACACCTAAATATATGGCCACGCACGAATGGTGCTGCAGTAACCATGCATCTTTGTAATGTTATTACCTTCAATGGTAATCAATTTAGAAACATTATTACCGCCATTAACCTGGCATAGCAACAGTGAAAAGTTCTAACTCGTTCAACCATTTAATAACTTAACCCCATGCATACCAAGGCAACCTAACCCCATACCTGGGAAGAATTTATTATAAAGTGAAAAATTTTTCAGCCCTAAACAGCGATTAATTAAATTTGTTGCTTTTTGAAGCAAAATTTCAGCAGTGATATATGATGTATCTTGTGTTTGTCATGACATTGCATTATTCTTTGTTGTCTAACACTTATGTTTGACTATTAATGTGTAAAAGGGGAGGTATATTCCGCCTTTTAGGAAGGACTACAAAGGGATCATGTAATAAAGACTCGTAAATTGCTTTGAACCTTTATTTTTGTGAACTGTTAATGCCATAGCTTCAGTTAAGTATACAGTAGGCTTTATCATGCAATTATGTTAATAATATTGGAAAAGTCATTGTCATTCCGCTCTAATAATGTTCAAATGGATTCTTTGGACTTTTAAAAACAAAATATTCTCTTTCCAGCTATGTGACAGACTTTGGACCTAAATTTGGTTCAAAAGGAATCTCTTTTTTTTATCGGTGTTCCAGGAAGTAACAAAGGGATCCTTCAAAATTAATCACGTCCTCAGGCTCAATTTCCTTTATATTTCCTTTGAAATTTACCCCCTTCTCTCCAAAAAAAGATTTAACATTCATAGTAACCGTTCGCATCTTTTCATTTTAAACTTTACCTTTCAAATTTTTGGTCTCACCGAATAAAATTACCATGGTAATGTAATTGATGGCTAAATAACTGTAATGAGTGAATCTGAATTACAGTGAAGTAAACATAGTTAACTTCAATTAGTCTACTTAAATGGTATGCTGTTGTCATGCATGAAAAAATCACCCAACTAATTTTGGTCCTAGAAAACAAACCATTTGACATTTTCCCCTTCTTAAATCGTGTCCCGTTCTCGAGATATTCTGCATACCTTTTTGTAAAATATGTTAGGATTATTTAATATTTCTTGGATTTAAAGAGTTCTTTCGTACTCAAATAATGCTAAGAGCATGTTAACCTGAACTCTTCAAAAAAATGTGGGTCTTTGCATACAGGCATTCAGAATGCTTCCTTTTTTGGGCGATACTTTTCACGGGACAATTTATAATTAACATTATTTTCTCGTTTTGAGAACTCTGCTTGTTGCATGCCTGTCAACCGACGTTCTGTTGTTATTGGCAATACCTATACACTTGGCACTGACCGAGTAAGGTTTTATTACGGTTGGCAATCATCTGTTGCATGATATAGATATCATGTAGTGCTTAGTGAAACCATCGATAGGTTATTTACCCCTTTCCCCAAAATGCAGGGTGGTTAGGGGAAATACTGTTGTAGTAAAAGCAGGTTTTTTCCACATAAATCATTGTCGTGCTAAGTAGCAACGCGTGCCAGTCACTTTTAGATTAATTACTTCTCCGTTGCAACAACAAACTGCCTTTGAAGGTGGCCAATTTCCTATAATACTTGGAGAAATTCTATACCACTGCTTTGCAAAATGTAGCGGATTACCGTATTAGGTATCTGTCTGAAGTGTAGCAAAAACGATGCTTTGTAAAATGGAAGAATTAATCTCAATTAAGTGGATTAAAATAGGAAATAGGTCGTTTAGTTGTTGCATTTGTAAGCCTAAGTTAGATAATTATAGTATCATACTGCTTTTGGACTGCTAGAGGGAAGGATCTTCCTAGGAAATGTTTGCAAACATTGGCAAACATCGGTAAACGTGTTCTATTACTGGCAAAAATAGACATCAATCATCGTCAAACTTATTGGCAAAAATAGATGCCAAGTATATCGTTCAAACTGTGAATTTTAAGCTGTTTTATTATGCTGATTCCAATGTATTTATTGACAAGGCTGAAAACGTTGTGGGCAGGGTGCGAGGAGAAAAGTATGAAGGTTAATATATACTGATGTAATATTTGTATAATTATACAGTACGTTTTATTTTTGGACGTGGTATGAACATATAGGATTAAAATTACTATACTCGCAAAAGAACAAATGTGGGAATTGAAAACCTCAAACTTTCTAAACTAAAATAAACTAAGTTAATTTTTATTTCTATACTGGAATGCTTTTCTATGGTTCTAAACTTGTCTCATTAGAGGTTCAGTATAAGGGCCATTCCTGGTTGTTCAATTACAGTAAGTTACTCAAGAGGACACCAGAATACCTGCAGGAGAAATTAAAGCTGCGTAGTTTGCTATGGTCAAACTGGAGCAATTCTTGACACATACGAGTGTAGAATTATTACTGATAGGTTTTTAGTTTCAAAATTAGCAGCACCAATTTAACCATGTTTGTTTAACTTGTTAGATCATGCTAATGACTTGATTGTAGGATTAGTTGATTATGCACAAATTCAATATTCATAGACTCTTGGGGTAACTTATTGATTGATAATTTTATATCTTTAATGCACACATCTGTTTGGGGTGCAAATCGACATCAAGTTATTCGGTAATAGTTATTATTTCAGTAAAGCCGAGGTAAGGATCGTGCATGGTTTTGAATTGCAGGGAAGAGATACGCAGGGTAGTTATGAATTCGATCACGTCTTTTGGCTTTGTTTTGACGTCGCGAGTCTATCTACGTAAGAGGATTGTTATTCTAGACTATTAAATAGCATTATAGTTCCTCAGTTGTCTTGGGTTTCGGTCTTTGGCGGCACATGCAGTTTTCAGAACAAGCGCCTATCAAGTCATTGACTTCAAGTGAAAAGAGAAAGTAAACGCTTTGCCGAAGATCTTGGTTTTTATCTGGGTATAGTCTACTTTCTTCCCACGAGGAATATTTACAAAGGTAGACTCGTGACCACGCCGCCATTAGCTGAATGTAGATTTTCTTTTATATTTGGCTACTATTCCTAGAGTGGTTCTGGGTCGGTTGCTTGCATTTTCTGTTTCTTGTACATGTTTTCCCTTACTACTTGGATATTTAGATCTTTTGTATAGCCCATTCATCTCTTCATTCCCCCCCCCCCCGTCCTCTGTTCCCGGCATAGCTCCAGTGTCATGTCTCAGAACGTCTCTCCTTCATCCAGCTTAGAAATTGTGTGCGGCGTAATCTTATCGTGTAGGAAATTGTGTGCGGCGTAATCTTATCGTGTAGTTTGAAAGGTTAAGAGTAGCCACAGTGGATTTACCACTAACAGTTGTTCTTAATCATGCAGGAAATGAACAGGAACAGTGAAGATAATTCAGATATCTGGCATCTTCGCAAAGAATATCAAGACGCCTCTAAAGCCATGAGGAGCAGAAAGATTAGTTGTGATAATGATAAATTGCCGAGGTAAGTTCAAAGTTAGAACGTACAAGTATTTTATCAGAACATTTTTTTGGAGCCCTTACGAAATTTCTGGTTAAAGCTCTTGCAAAATTTGATTCAGTGTTACTGAAGGATACCTAAATTAGGTTAGTAATTTTACTGGTTAGTTCTATCAGTTCTAAACTATTCTCTGAAGAGATCTAGTAAAGGCCTTCGCTTATTTTCCCGGTGTTGCCATACAAAAAAATTATTTTCCAGAGAAAAGCTGTCAAGGTGAAAACCCTATTAATTCTCACATGCGACAGAAGTGAAATTTTTGCAGGAATCGAATCCCAATCGTATATATACTATAGATGAAAGGCAAATGCAGTAACCACTTTGCCACAATCTATATTAGCCTATAAGAACGAACTATCTGAGGTTTTCGTTAAAATCGAAAATATGTGTAGTCTTTGCATCACAAATGAACCGAAATTCCGAAAGTGTCAACATTACGTATTTCTTGGTGTTCACGAGGTATTTCGGCGTAAACAGTTTGTTTGGCATGCCTGTTCTAATTAAGTTGAGCAACGATTATTAATCCTCTAGAATAACAGTAATAAGCCCCATATGACACGACCTTCTTTACCCCCAGTGCTTTCATTAATCTTTTCTATCCGTCCCACACTGGTTATACCGTCACACACCTCTGTGACTGGGATTCCATTTCTGCAAAGTATAGAAGTGTGAGATTGACTCTACCAAGCCCCGCATGAGGTGTTCCGGGTACTTAGGTTTCCTCCTGTAGTTTCAGCCTTTTACTTGACCTATAGAGAGAACAGTTTAGAATTGATAGAGCTATCCAGTATAAACAAAGTTCATTTAGTTCAGGTTTCCTCCTGTACTAACACTGGATCAATAATGGAAGGCCTTTTAGCTGACCTCTATAGGGAGAACAGTTTAGAATTGATAGAGCTATCCAGTATAAATAAAGTTCGTTTAGTTTAGGTTTCCTCCTGTGCTAACACTGGATCAATAATGGAAGGCCCTTTACCTGACCTCTATATAGGGAGAACAGTTTAGAATTGATAGAGCTATCTAGTATAAATAAAGTTAGGTTAGGCTTCCTCCTGTAGTTTAACAGTGAATCAATAAGAGATGACTTTCTAACTGGAGCTTCAGAGAGAACAGTTTAATTAGAACTGATAGAGTTATCAAGTATCAATAAAATTAGTTTAGTTTAAGTTTCCACCTGTGATAAGACTGAACCAATACGAGATGACTCTAACTGGACCTCCAGAAAAACAAGTTAGAACTGGTAGAGCTATCCAGCAGCATAAGTAAAGTTAGTTTCATTTAGGTTTCCTCCTCAAGAAATTTAGTAGGATTAAATCGTACTACTCGTAAGATTATTGGACGTCTAACTCTCTGACGAAAAGATGACGAAAACATACCCTAAGGCTTTATACTGAATAAAAACTTCATTGCGGAAACTAACTCGCCTGCAGGGCTTTTTTATACCAATATTAAACCACAGTCACGAAGAAGAAAGTTAGTAGGATTAATTCATACTAGTGAGATTATTGGACTAACTCTCTGACGAAAAGATGACGAAAGCATACCCTAAGGCTTTATAACAAACGTACTTGCAGGGAGGTGAGTCCGGGATTGGACGCACCGAGGGTGGCTGGAAGTTTCCCGAACTTACCGAGCGAAGCGAGGTGAGTTCGGGAAACTTCCAGCCACCCGAGGTGCGTCCAATCCCGGACTCACCGAACCTGCAAGTACGTTTGGTTTTTATCCCATACACCGAGCCATACACACATTTGTAGCTCTTCGCGATATATTCGTCGATGTTTTGTGAACATTTTCCCGGCCAAAAAAATCACTGAGCAAGAAAATACTTCTTAATCTACGTCTACATTACCTTTACTGCATTTTTTCTTTGGTTTTTCTTCATTCTCAGTATGTTAGTCACCGAAAAAAGTTCTTTAAAGTTTAGGTTTATTGGCTAAATCTTGTCCGCCATATTTGTTATTGTTATTGCAACGTAAGCAGTTTAGCGGGTGAGTTCGGGCGAAAAGCAGGTGAGTTCGGCAAAAAGCAGGTGAGCTCGACGACAAGCTCACCTGCTCTAAACCAATCAGAAAGCCGCTTTTAACACAGGTATGGGATAATATATTGAACAAAGACTGAACTACGGAAACTAACCCGCCTGTCACGAACATACCCAGTTAATTAACCAGTTTAAAAAATAATTCCGGAATAAGTGTATGGTTCTGGACCAATATTGAATTGATGTGAAGCGTGTACTTTTATGCAAAATTTTTAATTATGTTGATAAATTTATTCAATCATTTAATTTTGTATGATACCTCGAACTTGTGGGTCCAGTATTATTCAATAAGTTGCCGTGGTTTGTGCCTGAACTACCTGAAAATATCTCAAACGTTGGGGGTCCAGCGTAGGCTAGACTACGTGAAAATATCTCGAGAGTGCTTGGGGGTCCATTGTAGGTGATATTCTGTAATAAGACTGATCTACTTAAAAAGTATTTTTAATTTGTTCAAGTATTTTAGACTCCAAACCACGCGGTAGGACTATATCAAAGTTTCCTTTATCAAAGTACAGTTTAGTTTAGTCTTAAGTGTGTCAATTGAAAAATTAATCGTGAGGTTTAGACTTGACTTCCGCTACTCTTTAAGTACGCATGTGATTGGTTAATCGGGTAGATTAAACGCATCTGATTGGCTAATGGTCTCTTAATGGTATAGCGGTAGTGCATGGGAGTGGAAATCAATCCTAAACCTCACTAATAAGACAATTGCGCAAGATGATGTCATGAGGAGGCCCTTCCGACGGCCCTTCGAAGTTCTGTCGGAATGTCGGGACGTTCCTTCGGGACGTCGAAGTTTTGCTTGTATTTTTTAGGTAGTTGTATCCCTCTGAATCCGCAAATGTGTTGTTATCGTAGCTACCTATTGATCACCTCCTATTATCGGATCAAAACTAGTTGATTAATTATTCCCTCCGCATGTAATCTCTTGCCCTCAGTATATATTACATTTTTTATTCATAAAGCGTAGGTGGCAACAATCGCGGCTACATTTCCGTACTTAGCACATCACTAGTATTTAAATTCAGCTTCCTTTCTTTATATGCAGCTGTAACAAGCTGAACACACAAGTTGAAGAAACTTCAAGTATGAAAACCACGGTAGACACTACGCCTCGACTGCGAAGGCCCGGTTTGGTACACCGCAAGACCGACCCTTGTCCAATGACGGAATTTGTGCGAAATAACTGGAACGAAGAAGACGCTAATGGGGGGAATTTGGGGAGAAATGTCGAAGAGAAGAAGCATGCTACGATTTCTGAAGATGATGGAGTTGACATGTTTGATTTAAAGAAGAATATTCCTAATGAGGAACCGTTTCTTGTAAGTAAACAGTTCGCTTGTAAAGCTGCAATTTACCCCCAATAGATCACACTTGATACTTTGTTAGTTTACTTTACCTAACGCAAGATGATTTTACTCGTCAGGGGGAATTATGCTGGGCATAGCGGGTCAACCATGACTATCTGCCCATGTCTCTCGTTATTGTACTCTTTGTTATTTTACTTTGTCTAATGCCAGACAATTTCATTTGTTCGAGTCGGAACCGTATAGTGACAGAGATGAAACTCACATAAACTAACAACTGGACCAAAAACTCGCACTTTATTTATCATCAATATTTACTATATTTTAGGGTTTAAAGAGTTAACATGATAAATCATTATAGCAACACGCAATGTTTGTAAGGTTTAAACGAGTTAACATTGATAATTCATTGAACTAATACGATATTTTTAAACATTGAATATTAAATATGCATGCAGAAAATTTTGAATGCCATTCGAAAACATCGATCTTTATCTTGAATTATGGAAGAAAAAATTACAGCTTGAGTATAAAGAATAAATTAAACGCCCTTTGGATAGAAAGCCCTTTAGGCAGAAAGCCCTTTAGGTAGAAAGCCCTTTAGATAGCTAAATATGGTGAGACAACTTGGAAAAAAATGCGCCCCACTGTTATTCACGCCCATATCGAAACTGTATCGATTAAACTTTAAGGGTTTGTTTTTATCAACAGAAGTACACTTTCTATAGCGAGGTGTGTTTTGTAACAGCATGTTGCACTATTAAAACCAACGCCTTCTCTCCATGTTAAGGTTAATGATAGGGCGCTAAATTACCAGAAACAATTTTGGGGGTGGGAATTGGTAAGTGCCTTTGTGAATGTTGCATAACTTTACAGAATTATGTGTTTCCCTAGCTTTGTTTTCAATGTCGTATTGGTGAGATTCAGTATGTGCTAAGGGGCAATAGATTGTAATCATGGCAACCTCAGAATTGTTGACTTTTATAGGAGCAAGAGCAGGGACGCCGGAACGATGTGAAGGCAATGGAAGCAGATTTTCGTGAAAGGGCACTTTTGAATTGATATATACTAAGAGATGTTTGCGAAACATCGGGAGTTGAACTTCGCCTAATCATGTTTTCTATTGATTGGATGATAGGTGTGTGAGGGGGTTCTCCGCCAGGCGATTGTGCTATTCTTGAAGCTCGATGACTGCATTTCTTGCGTTTTCTGAAGCAAATTCGTAAAATAATTGCACTAACATTTCTTTAACACCCCGTTCCGGCGTCCCTGAGCAAGAGAACACATCTCTCAATTGTATTTATTTGCCACTAAGGCTATAATAAATTTAAATGACAAGAAAATAAACAATATTCTCTCTCACTCTGCATGATAATTGCAATTGACCACTGTCGGCTACATGAGAGTACTTTCAGACCGGAGAACAAAATATCTGTAAAAAATACTATCCGTAAAAAATAATTGATTTCAAATATAATTGGGGAAAGTAATATACTTGATTGCCTTCCATAGAAGCGTGAGTTAGCCAGGAACCAAAGCCAATACGAGCCACGTTTATATAAGAACTGAATATTTCATTAATTAAGTTATAAAGTTGCGTGAGGTTTAAATATACTTGAACTGATATTATTGCCAATTGGCTATGAGAGTGTTAGATTTTCTGTATGGATTGCACTTTTTATATTTCCGGAAAGTAACTGATTGGACATGAAATTTGGCTTAATTAAGCAGGTTGAATTAAGCAGGTTGGCTTAATTAATACTGTCAAAACTATCTGTGACACTCTATTAAAACATTTCTCTGTGGCTTTTTTTACCATTAGGCCGGAATAATTTACTTGTTTTCCCCCCACCTCCCTCCGCGTCCTCCCAAACAATATTGGACGTATTTTACAGTTGCTTTATCCGCACTCTGGGAATGCAATCAACATTGAATGGTGGGGGTAAGGGGGAGGTTTTTCTAATTTGCGATAATCTAACGAAATTTTGTCAAATAATTGGAAGTGTCGCAGATATTTTGTCCAGGATAAATTGTAGCTTAATTAGTTGTTTATCAAGAATTTTGGAGCATAATTATTATTGAACTACAACTAAACTCACTTCATTTATAGGGACACTATAGCCCTATCCCCACTTGAGATTTAAGCATCCCTTGTTGGCTACTGTACAGGAGGAAACTGATAATGAAGTAATATTAATAATAAAACTTTATTTCAAGAGGGTGAGATTATATACTTACATTATTAATATTACCTTAACGGTATTCTACCTAATGACCCTCAACAACTCAAGACGTTTCATATTAATATAAAATTAGAATTCGTAGCAACGACATTTTACAAGCCGCTTGCCAGTGTAACAATTAGAGAATCTGTTCACATGGTTTACGGTATAATTTATATTTTGTCTTGTAATGTTTTGGTGGGCCGACTTAGTAAGGGACATATATGTTCTGTTGTCCTTACAATCGATCTTTATATATGATTGTTAAGCAATTAAAAAAATAATAAATAAAAATGTCCTTTAGTTTTGTTTTAAACAATCCGAATGAAATATCAATATTCTTCAACTCATAGGTAAAGGTTGACGAGCATTGCACCACTATAAGATATTTTAGACTTAGCTCACTGTTTTGGCCAGAGGAATCTTAAGATCAGTGTCGGTCGACCTGGTGTCTACACCATGGGAATCCCGCAAGAAAGCAAATAAAACAAACAATTCTTGTGGCCAAGCTAGATAATTTTAGAGTATTAAATACCAGGGGGAGGGACTGGGGTTGTTTTTTCGAAAGTTGATTAGCCTGACCGTAGGTTAACCTAAAGTTCCATGCAAACTTCCTGACAGCTTGTCTATACATTTGGAAATATTTCTTCACAAATTTTGTCTGGATCGATAGAAGTTTACTTCTCTAGTGAAGTTTTGAAATAAACAGACGTGCAGCAATACACAAACCAAAACAGCGGGTTAAACTTCAACTGGCACCAGTATAGGATAATTTTTCTCATTTTTATAATATTATGAATAGGTATCCATTTCAATTGACAAAATAATTCAGTAGAAGGGTTTTATCATTTAGCGGCCTTTTTTGTGCCCACTAACCGTAGATATCTATGCCACTAACTTGTTCTAATTAGATAATAATTAGAAGCCAAATATAATAAGAAGCCAAACCATATGAGTTAAACTCTTCTAATATTTCACTGATGTTTTGTGCAGATTTCGTCCTATGACTTGGCCAAGAGAAGACTTAGTCTACCTATATCAACATTATCGACAGTAGAGCAAATTTGGAATGGTAGTATTAATATGATGTTTGAAGATTCGGACGACACCGACAACGTTAGTGTGGAAACTCCCATCAAGGTTAGTCCAGTTAACACCACATATAAATACAGTTCAGTGGGTTTGTCCGGAAATATGCCTACCTGCGAACAGGCATAATGTGAAGACGAGATTGCTCGAGCCTGTGATCAGTTTTACAGTAGTTCAGCGGTAATGAAAGATTTTTATGTCGGTACCTCATTTTGTGTCAATGTTAATTTACTATGATTCAGATAGTATAAAGATTATTAAAGGGAAATGGCAATATAAATTTTTATTTTCTCATTTGAAAGAACTTTTGAAACTATATATTAAATTCTTTTACCGTTTTTTTCATATCTTGCTTAGTTCTTGAAATATTTTCACTTGAAGTAATGAAATGGCCGCCATCTTGGATAAATTTTTGATCTCATTAAGGTTACAGAACACCTTTGAGTGTTAATTTTGCCTAAAATTTTTTTATTGGTTTCAATGAAAGCATTAGACTAGTTCTACTATCTGACCAGGTTTGAACGAAAAATGTTGAAAACTCGCAGAGTTATTTAATAAAATACATTTCGCTGCATAAAATACATTCCTACAAGAAAAACATTGAAAATGTAATATTCAAATTCAATTTTCTCACGAAAAATTTTACGGTAATTACTGATTTTCAAACGAGTTGTGCTCCTGCGGGTTTTAACCAATTTTTCTCAAATTTTCACAGGACATAGCTAAATACGTCAGTTTCAAAATTGTGTTTTTTTTTAATTTTGGATATTTAAAAAATAAAGAACAATTCACTCAAGAAAGCTCACTCAAGAAAGGTACAGGAGAGGCAAGGTACAGGAAATTTAAATATAATTTTAAAGGAAAGGCAAGCCTTACCATTTGTTTTCCCATATATTTCGACTGGAGTTTGCGAAATATAACCTCAATTACACATGCAGGCCTCATAGGCCCTTGTGTAATTGGAATTTTGGTGACGTCACAACAGGGATTAACCATATAAAAGTGTTCGTTGCTGACCAAATACTGATTGGCAGATGTTTTAAGTAATGTTTACAACATGAGCGGCCGTGTTGTATCAGATAAAACGACTCAGGTTATGAGTTCATTGGCGAAGTAATTTTAAAAATAAACGTTGTCTAAGCCGAGAAAATCAAAGTTAAAGTTTATGTAAATCAACATGAATCTGTATCACATATACAGATACGACACGCTTATGATTTTTCTTTATGTTTTCTTCATGAATTATTAATGAGTTTTTTAAAGGTTTTGAGTGATCTTGATATTTCGAAGGGCAGACAGAGTATAGTTTTGAGTGCAAAATGATTAGTGTTTGTCTAGATAAAAATATTGCGTGACTCCTGTTGTGACGTGACATGCATATCTACAAAAATTGAAGATGGCGGACATTTCCTTCCTTTCAATCAAAATATTTGTAGAAGTAAGCAAGATATGAAACAACAGTAAAAGAGTATTATATATAGTTCTTTCGAATGAGAAAGTAAAAAATATATTGCTATTTCTCTTTAAATTTCTTAGTAATGATTGGTTCTAAGTTTTTGCTTCCTCGATCTAAAATAAGGTTTATGAACCTGCCATCGTGAACCTGCCATCATTTTACATTTATGCAATAGAGAGCTTGGCAGCCAACAACGGCAGTTCAAACAAAGTTATTTTTGTATGCGAGCCAAAGCATGCATTCCTAAACTTTATTTTCGTCTTAAAGGTACTTAAAACAGCACTTTAAAAAGCAACCCTAAAGTACCCATAGTCAGTGAATTCACATAAAACACACCACAACCGACACAAAGCTTTGAACGTTTTAACTGTTGGCGTGGTTATGAGCAGTGAAAATGATGTAAATATTTACGTAGCAGTTTCAACAACGCAACTACGGCAATATATACGGCGTACTAGAACGCTCAAGGGAATATAATTTATAGTCGTCTTTGTCTTAGAGCAAAATTCCATTGATGATCACGTCTTTATACTGACCTTGCCGTTGTTTTGCCAAATTCACCAAGGGCTCTTCATATGGGCAGTAGCCGGAATGAATCGTGTCACGAAATTTTTCCTGACTATAAGAGATGGTTTGAATGAACTTTATACTATATGCTTGTGATGTTACTCTGAGTGTATATCCACACCGGGCAAGCTTGAAAAATATGCCTGACCACGGTGGGAATCGAACCTACGACCTTTGGAATACTAGCCCGGTACTATGCCATCTGAGCTACGCGGTCATGTCGGTTCGAGTATGTGATATATTTCGGTTCCTTCTAGTTCCTTCGATATCAATGTAATCTAATAATCATGATTTTTTCTGTGTTGGTGTTTTTTCTGTGTAGTATTCCAAAGGTCGTAGGTTCGATTCCCACCGTGGTCAGGCATGTTTTTCAAGCTTGTCCGGTATGGATATACACTCAGAGTAACATCACAAGCATCATATTCACCTGAGTACATTACATGCAACACAGAAAAAAAGAACTTCATACTGTTACTTGAATCAAACTAAACTAATGACCATTTGCATTATAGACTAAATTTTGATCTAAATTTTGTGTCTAGACAAAAATTTCATCACAACTTGAAAGAGTATCACAAAATTAGTAATATTCCAAAGTTTCGTTGCTAAATGTTGTAAAATGCGGATAATATAGCCTTGCGAAGTTTGCCGTTTTTCAGTCATTTTGTATTGCAAACGGGGAATTGACTGCCCCAAAGGGTATTGGACTGTCAATTTCCCCCCGCGTAATGCAAAATGACTGAAAAACGGCAAACTTTGCAAGGCTATATTATCCGCATTTTACAACATTTCGCAACGAAAATTTGGAATTTTACTAATTTTGTGATGCTCTTTCAAACTGTGATGAAATTTTTGTCTAGACCTGTTTAGATCAAAATTTAGTCTATAATGCAAATGTCCATTTAACTTTGAAACGTCATGCATTTTGGATGTTTATCAAAGCCGTGATAAGAACTTTATTAAACGAATCATCCCGAGTAACAGGGCCAGCCTGGCTCCATATGAACAGCCCCTAATAGGACATTACATGTATTCTTAACAAATGGACATAGGATGGATATATGTATAAGTTATCCTCGAGCCGTTAATTTGGCTCGTGATAGTTTTATATATTGGCATGGTGAAGGAGTATGGAGTCGGAGTGCGGAGTCTGTCAAAAAATTGTTTATTTTACCTAAAGATTCGATTTTAATGAGACTCCGCGTTTTCCACTTTATGCCCCCATAAATGTAGCCTGCGAATACAGACTCTATTTATGTCGCTGATTCCACTGGGGGAATAAGCGATATAAATAGAGTCTGTATTCGCAGGCTACCATAAATGGAAAACGCGGAGTCTCATTAAAATCGAATCTAGGTAAAATAAACAATTTTTTGACTCCGCACCCCGTCTTTCCACCATGCCCTATATATTGAGATATAGCGGATATTGAACTGAGGGACTAAACACGCGGAACTAAAATATTAAGCTTTTTCGATAAATACTGTACATGTACACATAAAAATTACAAAATAAAACCGCATTCGCTAGCTCTAGCATTGTAGAAACAGCTTATCGTATTAAGATATATAAACATATTTTAAGAAGATATACGGTAGACATATTTTAAGAAGATATACGGTAGACATATTTCACACTAACGGGAGGAGGTTATTTCGCTGGCCTCGAGAGTGACAAAACGTAACAAAGCAATGGTTTTACTAACACTAACCCTACTCCAAACACCAACCCTAACCCTAACCTAACCCTACTCCAAATTTGTTTCTAAACTAATCTTGAAGAAAACATTTTTGACGAAATGTCATTCTGAGGTCAGCGAAATAGTTGATGCCGTGCCGCTTAACGCCCCCAAATAGCTGCCTCTGATATGAGCAGTTGACCGCAAGAAAGCATAAAAGATTAACTAGATATTTTTAGACTGGTGTATATAGACTGGTTGAAAGATACCCTAACTATAAGCTATTGCTATATAGCCGGCCGGGTCACTTAAAGTGTATTACACTAACACTAAAATCGAACAGACCACGTATGATCGATGTTATGATTACGTCACGCGTCCTTACGAATTAAGTTAATCTGAAAGCTGACCCTACTTGACCTCAATCGATGACCTTTCTAATATAGAGCTTACAAATTTCATATCTGCTTACATCAAAGCAACGTAGTTTTCTTTTTTACTAAAAGAAAAAAACTTACTAAATTTTAAAATTTATATGAATCCTTACAAAATGTTCTCAACAATCTCTTCTTTGGAATTATTGACAAAGAGAAGAGAGCCACTTATATACCCCCTTTGTCGATAACAAAAAGTCATCAAGGACGTCATTACTCATTAGGCATGCCTCAGGAGATCCGTTTTGAAATATCATCAGTGAATGTGGACGTGACTGACTCGCCTTTCGGTGGAGTGTTTATCAGCAAGTCTGACGCAAATCCGTTTGAAACGACAATAATATAATACCTACATTCAAACAGTTCAAGTCATTCGTGGAGGAACGACTGCTTCAGGAGTATCTTAAAACGCTATTGTCGGCTTTCGAAATTAGTCAATTGTATGCATTATTTGTTAAATTAAATATCTGGAAATCTTTGGTAAGTTTACTGTTCACTTGTACTATATTTGAATTTTGAACGTGTTTACTATTCACTTGATTAAAATCTCAAACGGTCGGAGCAGTCTCACCTTGACTGAGGACGACAGCAGGTTTCCTGTTTTACAGTGGAAAACTCTCTGCATCCAGGGTATATGCCTGCGTTGATGGATATACAACTACCTGAACAGTATAAGCAGAACTTCAACGTTTCGAGGCCCAAAATTTTTGAATACTGTTTAGAATTTTTTTGAAAACACCTGCATTTGGCATGGTGTTGAATGGTGTTGACTTTGAAATTAATTATGTGTGCAGTGTCATTGACATTGTTTTGTGAATTGATACATTTATATTATACATATTATTATACTATACTACAAGTGTGATATTATTATACTATACTACAAGTTCATTATAGGTTAAATATCTTTTACAGAACTTTTAGCTGATTTACTACAGGATTATATAGGTATAAAATTTGTAGTTATTAGTTTAATATAGTATCTAATTGACTAATTGTATTTGCCATGGTATGCATATAGTGTTAATGTGTTGTGCTGAAGGGTTGTTGTTGACAACAAATCGTTGACACTGTTGAATTAAGTAGAAACTTTCATCTAATTGCATGGCTTCAACATTTGATCTTTGACTTTTATATGGAGCAAAAATGTGAGGACAAAGACTCAAGTATAAGGTTTTGACAATTATATGTTTAAGTTGAGACATGCAGATAAATAGCTCAGCATCTTCACTTTCATTATATAGGCTATAATTCATGTATTCTATTATATATCTATTGAATATTATTTTCTTATCAGTTCAATATATTATCGAATTCCTATGTCGCTATACATGGACTATATGATCAGTACACCCTCTATTCTTTCCACAGCCATGCAAAGTGCATTGTTTGCATACACTATAGTGTATATCTGATCGAACAATCTCGTCTCACTCAGTATAATTTATAAACACATTCCAAAGCTGAATCCTAGCCTCCTCCACAAACCACAGGCATCTCACATATATGGAAGCCGGGCTGGCCCACTTTGCGAGACGGCTCTGTTAGCGGGATAGATAGATAAATAGATAGAACTTTTTATTACACGTTATAACCATTGTCAATTACCTAGGCTGATTTCCACAAGGGACATGTACAATAATAACATTGCAAAGATATAGTATGTATAGTAAGATATTACATACAGTCAACCATGAAACTTTTTTTCAAGCTATTTGTACGCGGCTGTGGTAGCAAAGAGTATACTTTCAACATCTCGAAGTTATAATCTGTCATTTCACTTTGAAAGTAAATAAATCAATAAGTGATTTAGGACCCATTTTATTCAACAATTTAAACATCAGTTTGGACGAATTTCTCTTTGTTTATATGAGAAAATTTCATCCCGCTTGCCGGGAGAATTTAGCCGGCGGTTTTAAGGGCCCAACCCTTAAAACCGCCGGCTATATTTGACAGTTGTTAAAAATGGCTTGCGGCGGATCTCGGCAACGCTCGTGAGTGTTTATATGGAGAAATTTCCATCCCGGAAAGCGAGATCTCGCCTCTTTCAAGCGAGATCTCGGCAACCGGGCCAGCCCGCTTGTCCATATAAACGCACGATAATTTTTACTATAAAAATAACTATACACAGCGAGATCTTGCTTACCGGGCTGTCTCGCTTAGCGGGCCAGCTCGGCTTCCAAATAAATTTAGGATTTTTAGTTGCATATGTTTGTCAGTATAAAGTCTTGATGTATTATCTACAAAATACATAATATGCATGGTTTCTTTTTTATCTTGTGTATCAGTACTTATAAGGTGCCTTTGTGTCGAAATTCGTCCCTGCCCACCATTGAATTGAATCAATCAACACATTTTTAAAATTGTCTAACATGCATGCTTGCTTGTTTGAAATGGTTTATCATGCTAATATTAAAGACGTATAAACCATTGTTAATCTTTGTTATCAAATGCCTGATAGTAGCTCTGAAATAGAGTTACTATTAGCTATGTAATTTAATTTCGTGCAGTGATTGACTCGATAACTAAATTGGTTTGAGCGTTACTTAATACTTAGCCCTGTTCAGAAACTTCGTTGAATAGTCAGGTAAGGTTGAAATCTGACCAACCTTTATATATGTTGACAATATACGCTTGGCGAGAAATGAGGAATGGAGGAGTGTATCCGCGTATATATGAGTTTGCTAATATGACGGCAGAAAACACGAAAATAGGCAAAACGTTAAGACCAAAAACGTCAAGAACGACAAATAGAAAGGAGTAATGTATTCGCTGGGCCAATGAGATTGTCATATGCCGGTAATGCCGCTTCATGTAACGTTCTCTGATATTTAAAATGCGAAGAGATGATTCCAGTCGGTGATCGGAAAAAATGGCACCGAAAAAAATGGTGCCGGAAAAAGTGGCACCGGAAAAAATGACTGGGGCGGAACCTATATATGGTGCCACCATTGAACTATAAATAAACTGGAAGGCTAACGCAGGGGGGGGGGTGAATTGAAGCCAGTGCATTAGAGTTATGAGCAGAAATACTCAACACTGAACGTTGGGCTATATATCAAATTGAAGCTATTGAAAAACGCTATTTGGTGTAGAAATTTCAAGACTTTAGCTAAAAGGGAAATATTGAAAAACTACAAAAATAATTGCCGATAATTTGCCATTTTGCAGTTGTTTTTGTATTTTTTTAATATTTTTCTTTTCGCTGAAGTCTTGAAATTTCCACACAGAATAGCAATTTTCAATAGCTTCAATTTGATATATAGCCCAACGTTTGGGGTCAAGTATTTCTGCTCATAACTCAGAAAAACTATTTTGGCTCCAGCAAATCATAGGCCTTCATCCATAGATATCTTATATAAACTAGATAGCGCATCTCTTTTAGTAAAATTGAAGCCAAAAATATCCCAGCGGTTATCCCCATTTGAATAGATGGCGGCCATGTTGGATCTTCCCACTCGCTAATAAACGCTTAAAAAATAACAATAACTTTCATCATTTGAATAGTTTGAAAATGTATTTATAATAGGATTAACTTAATGTTTAAGTTCCCTGTTTAAGAAATAGGATACATACGAATCTTCTCATTTCATGGGAAGATCCTGAGCCTGCAATCACGGCTTCAATTTTTGAATTGCAGAATAATTAGATGCGCTATCTAGTGTATATAAGATATCTATGCCTTCATCATGGCAGTTTATTTGATAGTTCAATGGGTGCGCCCCAGACATTTTTTCCGGTGCACGTGCCATTCTTTCCGGAGCCATTTTTTCCGGTGCCATTTTTTCCTCATATAGCATCCATCACATGTTTCTCGCAATATTTTGGAACTATATGTTTTATATCGTTTATATAACAGATTGAAATGAATGGTTAACTTACTTCGAGTGTTGGATTTTCAGACTTAACCATATAATGCTGCATGGAATTGTTAAAATTAAGATTCTCAATTTTCGCAACATGAAAGAGAAGTCGGGTGTTTCTCCTCTAACAGGTAGTAAAAGCAGCAACTGGTCACTCCGCCTCTCTTAATGATTTTAAGATTATTTCTTGTTGCTCTTCTCCAGACGAACTCCTCATTCGAGAAAGTCTTCTCATTAACAAACTCAAACCCTCTCTCAACTTACAGGGCAGCTCGGTCCCTCTACTTCTACTCTGATCCATTCCTCTTTCTATTTTTGTAATATAATATCTTGTAAATAGTTGTAATTTATTCATATTTCTGTGTTTTCCGCTTTGTATGTCATTGCTCTGAAGATGTCTTAAGTTAAAGACGAAACGTTAGCTTTTAAATAAATATTTAAAATTATATTTTTGTTATGGCTCTTTTACGTGTTTTATGCTGGGCATTAATATTTATCCTAAGAAAGAGAAGTCTTTCTTCAATTCTGGGAATTGAAGTTACTAATCCCATTTCGTTTACTTAATTAAAGCCAGAAGTCACGTAAATTATAACACGTTGACGAAAGACTCGTAGGAATGCCTGGAAAATGTTATGGTCATTGACATAATAACATTATTGATATAATATTTGCATGCAAAGATGACGATCGAAGCTTACGGTTGAAAGCTTTCCCAACGTAATAAACAAACGTTTCTACAAAACAAATTAATTTTTATCCCATCGAGAAGGCTTCTTATATATAGATTACGTTTGATTACGTTTACACATGCATGCAGAGACCGAACGAATTCGAAATCGTACACAATTTTGTCAGGATCCATTCAGTACACACGGGAATTCGTACGGTTATAGCTGTGCTTGCCTTGAATTCGTCTGGTTTCTTTATACAGAAAGCTTCGGATTGATAGGGATACTACTACCAGTGAAAAATACAAGGAGAACTGACAACTCTGTCGACGTTTCGAGCCGGCGAAGGCCCTTCGTCGCGTGGGAAACTATTAGTAGCCATGCAAACGTCGAAGTTCTCCTTGTATTTTTCATGTATTTTTATCCCTATATATACATCAATCCGAAGAATTCTGGGGCCGGTTGTTCGAAGCCCGTTTAGCAGCCTTAAACGGTGGATAAGTCGAAAATATTGATCAAGTTTGTATACATTCATCAAGTAACCAAACTAAAATATTTCAACTTGAGCAGAACAATTATGTTTGCAACTATATGTTTAGTGCATGAGATTTAAGTTCAGTCATTTATAAAATGTGTGAATCTGTTAGTTACTTTTGACTTATCCACGTTTAAGCTAATGCTTCGAACAACTGACCCCTGGTTTATTTAGTCTATTTGTATATATATTTATATATTTACAAAATTCGCCACACACAAATAAAAAAATTAAATAAAAAATAATAATTATATAGAAGACAGTAGTGCCAAAACGACACACAAAACATGCAATATATGGATATGCAGGGATTAATTACGTATCCATCCATTCTCGTGTGAACAGGTACCTAATTCTGGCTGAATCATGAATGTCAAGATCCCCCTTCACTCTTCCCTATCGATATCAAATATGTTTATATACTGATATGAGCCAGATTTATGCGTAATATTGGACAAATTGAACTTCCTCCAAACCATACTTCATAGCTGCTTTCGTTATAGACCCATAGACCTATACAAGGATCGAATCGGGTTCGAACGTAGGCTACCGCAAGAAGGGCGGGGAAGTTAGGCGTCAATATTTAATATAACGTTAACTCTTATTTAACTGTCATTTGATGATAGACAGCGTGCGTCATATGATAACAATTTATTTTTGTTTGTCTCGTACAGAACTCACATCGACCGGCATCTTGTATCAAACAACTACATAACTCGCCCAACATGGAGAGAAGACGACGACAGAGTGCTTGGGGTCGAGCTCATTCCCTCAATCACGAAATGAATAAAGCACCAAGTAAACGGCGCATGAGCGAAGTAAGTTTGAAGTTTTGATTTGATTCACATGCGGGCATGCTATCAAATTATGAATTTATGATCGATTATCTGATTGAGGTTTCTCCAATCCCAATATTCTGTAGAACTGCCTCGATTTTTAAAAATATCTTCTATTTTTGTCATGAGATAGTCCAATTCATAAAAATTAAAGTTGTCCTGGATACATAGATTGGGATTTATATTAAAAGATGAAACATTTCAATACATCGCTAATTCAATGGGGGTCGTATCACTCGTATGCTTGAAAATTGAATTAGTTTATCACATTCTTCATCTCATATGTCTGGCAAAGTATACCAAAAACGACGTCTTTTCTAGCAAAAAGCCTTTCACCAGAAGTGTTCGTATCTAAATTAGATATAAAATAGATATAAATTATGTTTGTTTGAGCGCAGTGTTTGTGTTTTTTGCTTTTCCGAAGCAAAACGTGACTTATACTTGTGAAAGTATTTGTTGAGTAAAATCCTTGTCATGCCATATGGCTTCTCTCTTTCGAAATGACGTAAACTGGATGGAACGCCAAATCTAGAAATGTCGTTGCACGTTGCATCGACGATATTTCTTGTGAGTCGTGATCATTGAAATGGTCGTGACGTTGCTTGCTAGTCAAACAGGGATAGATTTTGGGCATCCATATATACTCCCATATTCTAAAAGCTCACTCACACTCATACTCAATGAGTGGAGGTTCAATCTGAGCCTCTCTCGAGTGTCATTGCTGTTTTTGAATAGCTGGAGGGCTAGTGTCGTACCTTACTATGTGATTACTCACCCTCCAGCTATTCAAAAACAGCATTGACACTCGAGAGAAGCTCAGATTGAACCTCCACTCATTGAGTGTGAGTGAGCTTTTAGAATACGGGCGATAGACTCGATACAACTAATAGTTGTAGAAAGGCTTTGTAGATGGAAATTTCGAGTCTGGATTTTATACATTTATTAGACCAAACCATGCAGGAACATCACAAGCATCTTATTCGCCTGAGTACATTGCACCAACACAGAAAATATCATTATTACTAGATTACATTGATATCGAAGGAACTAGATTCTGTTCCGAAATATCACACACTCGAACCGAGCAGACCACGTAGCTCAGTTGGCAGAGCATTGGGCTAGCATTCCAAAGGTCGTAGGTTCGATTCCCACCGTGGTCAGGCATATTTTTCAAGTTTGCCCGGTGTGGATATACACTCAGAGTAACATCACAAGCATCATGCAGGAACAGTTGCAAAAATGCAACTATTAGACCCTCTGGCAGGAATCGAATCTGCGGAATATTTTACATATAATATACCGTGGTCTTGATCACAGTACACAGTGATGTTGAGGGTCGAGAAGGGGCAAAATGGGAACTGCATGGGATTTGCCTATTTGCTCACTAGGAAAATGAGATTTAGACCAGCAATTATGTTGCTGCTGAGATATTGGATCTGGCAATCAGTGGGACAAAATTATGGCTGGAAAAATGGGATTAGAGCCCCCCTTTCACGACCCCCAATGTTGTATCGAGTTGACAACTGTTTCATCAATCATCATCACCATTTGGAAAGCATATTATAGTGCGTTCCTTTGGGCTTGCAACACACGGCGTAGGAAATATTATACATTGCGTTTTCATACAAATTTTCCAGACGTGTTTTTTCAGATAATATTTACTCAAATCCTTCTCGAACCGCGATCTATAGTGTTTCCAAGCTGTGAACAAACAAGGCAAAAAGTGGACAAACAGGAAAAGAAAAAGTATTTGGAAGCAAATATGTCTCTTCACTTTTGATTTTGGCACACAGCTACAATGTTGATACTTATTCAGAACAAACGAAACTCTGCCCGCCTTGCATGAATGACTATATATTCACTCCATATTCAGTCTAAATCTTGAAAATACTAGTAAGTTCTACTAAGCTTTATTTAAATCCATTCTAAATCCAACACACTTACAATCAACTGAATCCATCGTTCTGCATGTAAATCCAATCTATCGATCGTCTGGTCTGGTCTTTTGTCTTGTGCTATTCTTAGGTCACTTAATCCCAGAATAAGACAAGTTTCGAGATCGTTTAGTTCGCCTCCTACAAAGAGCTTAGCTGAACTTTGTTTCACTTTCAACTTTGACAAATTCCACACATTCTAGGCTAAATTGTAAACTAATATTTACACTTGGATTGAGATAAGTAAATATGATATTGAACCGTATAATTTGAAGAAGCATGGTTGGCATGCAAATGCGGTTGCCCCTCAGTATCGCTGAGTTAAGTTAAGGTTCTCTTTTTCACTCATCGCAAAAACCAACTCACAAGCTCGCTTGTGAATGCTTGTACTAATTAAACAAAACTGTCCCGCATTGTGATTGGATGAAAAGTACTCACAGTGATCTTATGAGTTCGCTCTTGTCACAGAATAGAGATCATATCACAGAGGAAGTACATACAGAGGTCTCACTTCAGGTTAATTTAGCGTAAGGGATTTTTTCAGTCCGCCATGTTCTTAGCTAGTCCGGTAAAGAGGCCATCACCACAGATGATAGATAATACCAGATGAATCTCTCAGCCAAAATTATGTCCGCGATTTTTTATGAACACGCTTTGGCCGCCATTTTGGCAGTAAGTGTAATTCACGCATTTTGGCAGTAAGCGCCATTTTGGCAGTAAGTGTCGCACGCGCGAAAATCGCGGACACGAAAATCATAGGGATGGATACACAGTGAGATATCTGGTATAATCTATAATCTATGCCATCACCCCCCTGAAAACATATTGAAATTCAGTGTTCCAGGAGGGTAAAAGCGTAACCGCCGCCAAGCCATGATTCGCAATGATTCGTCATCAAATTGCAGTCACCATTGTCGTCATAGTCCTAGCCAGTGCGGTTGTGAGAGGCATTCACCCCCGTGAACGTCCGCCATTTTGAACATTTTCAGGGGGTGAATACCTCTTACAAGCGCACTGGCTAGGAACATGGAGACATCATTGCAACGCTTCAAAATCAAAGATAGGCAAAACCAAGAAGTCGGCCTGCTGTAAGGTCTCTATTCTGTGCTCTTTTGATGAATGGAAAAGGCCGGACTCGGGTGAATTAGGCAACCACACCCTATGTAATCAGCACTATAACTTTCAAGAAATTGAGTCAACTCCACAAGTCATGTGTTATTCTGTTCTTTGAATAACACTTTTGGAGAATAACAAATTTATAGTGAAATTATTATTGAAAAAGTATACACCTTGGACTTTGAAGTTTTTGTGGACCCGTATATGTCAACATGCACCCCAGCGTTTTTATTGTATATCATATTTGAACAAATGTTTGCCTATAAACCGTTTATTATAATGAACTCTTAAAATTCCATTCAGCCATTTTATTATAACAAAATAATCCTTGAGCAAATAACTCCGAATTGGTTAAGTAATAGACTAGCATTAAAACGTTTAATCAACCACCTTGAAATAATTTTGCCGGTTGGAAAAATAGCTGTTTGTTCTGGGGTATTCATTTTCCCATCATTGTTACAAGTGTGAACTATACGCGTGTTTGGTGAACCGAAGCGATTCATGCTAAGCTATCGCGATTGTTTATCTCGAATCTGTTGTAAATAAAAGGTATTTTGCTTTTCATCTAGTGTTTTAAAAAGTCAGCGTTAATGGAAGTATAGTTTTGCATACGTTTGTGTATAGTTACTTTATTTGAAACGTGATTATATAAAAACCTGCTATATTTTTAATGGTCACTGTTTTTTTTGCGGACAACTTGTAAACAGCCCATGGCCATGCAGATAAATAAGTGATAAATTCCAATTCGAATGGTGTATTTCAACTGGAATTAAGTCGTTTTCAATCGTTTGATATGTAAATACAAAGCCACAAGGGTATAAAACTGCTCATATTTGACATTTTTAAACGAAACTTTAATATTTCTTAACAGGCGTATTACTTCGGTTTCAATTGCTTTGAAGCAATTAACCGCCCATGAGGTCTAAAAGTGACAATAGGTTCGGTTGTAAGCAATTTAACATGCAAATTTACCTATCTTCAGTTCGGTGCTAGAATTCACTGTCAATGCCCTTTGAACTGTATATGTGGGTAAAATGAGTGAGGATTCGGGTAGTTTTTCGTTTACTGTCTTCGAAGAGTTGTCAAAGACTGGTCTATGGAGGCGAGATTCGATGTTCGAAGAGGTAAAACTGTGCTATTTACGAAATAGTTAGTTTTCATTGAGTTCTTTGGTAGTTAAGTAGATCAATTTTGGTGTTTCGCGTGAGGCCTGCCCGTGTTTGTTAGCATGCCGATTGGAATGGCCAAGTTTAATATAGATTTTTGTCGATACAATACAGTGCCGTTATATATATATTTGATTCAAGTCGTATGTATAAAGACTGATTCATATACAACACACAAAATTAAGATAATTTCATATTAATAGCTGCCATACAAGATTTAGATTATGGGGCTAATTTTTTAGTTAAACCAACAGGAATTGGGATATTTTCTTGTTACATTTGTGCGCGACTTGACATTTTATATATTAAAATAATGACTTATAGATCTATATATTGGAATTAGCGAGGTAATTAGTACCCTGGTTGCCAGAAGTTCTCGTATCTTCCGCCCTATTCTCGTTTGTATTTGTTTCACGCGAGGAATTAGAACACTCATTAGAATATAGTTACAATCACATTGAATACTGAACTGACAACCAAACTTTTTAAACATTCTTTCGTGTGATTTTACAACTTATATATATAGCTTTAATTGCACTCAAATTAAAATTCTAATCATAATTCAAGTTTATTATGACTTTATGTACTATATAGAGCTCATTCAATTATACTATACGGAAAATAGTCGAATATTAAAACGAAACCCATATTGGAATTAGAATTTAAACTCATATATATTTGTGAAAATTTTAGTTCGTAAATTTAGTTTGTCACACGTATACGTGATCAAAGTTTCGTGGTTCGTATATCATGACGTCATCTTGCGTCACAAACTTATTACGAGAAGATTTTAGTTTAGATAGAATTTTAAACACTAAGTTGCTTTCTATCTTAAATAAATTCAAACTTTCTGCTATATTCTATAGTATTGGTGGGTTTTAGTGAGCGTAACAGAGCAGCAGATGCTGGTCAATTTCAGACTAATATTGACACTTTGTAGAAGCAAGCTGGCAGTTTAAATTCCATCTCCCAATTTTATTTCCCTCCAAATGCAAGTCTAGTACGTATAATGACAAGAATTACCATTATTTTCTCACTCTGATAACTGCAGGATGACTACCATCTTACTGCATGATATTATAGGTGCTTGGTGATTTGAATTCATTTCACGTGCGCACGAGACAACAGTTATTCGTTCCCTGTAGTGTTATAGAAATATATATAGTTGAAGATATTTTTAGATCACAGTGGATGGTTTGAAACTATAGAAATTAAGCCCTCTATATAGGGTCAGCTAGAAAGACCTGTGCATGTACCTCTATAGCGGAAGTCGATTTCAGCCCCCGCAATGAAATCTGATTGGCTCGGCAACGACTTGCGAACACTGATACTAGTGATAGATCAGTGCTTGCGAATTTTCGCTAAAAATAGTCGTTTGGGACATCGGATAATTGTCTTTTTGCGTTTGGCGTCGTTACAAAAAAAGGTCTATAATCTAATCTTGACTACATTCTAATGAAGCGAAAATTTCTTCGGATGTTTTCCGATGATTTTCTCAATGTTTTTGAATGTTGTGCATAAAATTATTAAAAGACACTACTGCCTTGGTTGTTTAAAGATTTTCTGAAATTTAACGTTTTTCAAACTTTGTAGAAAGATGTAAGATGTTTTGCCAATACTGATTAAATCAGACAATTAGACTTTCACGGCATTAATCACGAATTTCAAATGAAGTTTATTTTATATCAAAATTAATTTGTCTTTTCCTGCAATTTCATTTGAACTTCCGCACCACTTAATTCCTTTTTGAGATAGCAACTTTTAGTTTATAATGAGACTTAATTGGGTTTTTTCTTCAAATTGATTTGACCTCTGTGCATGGCTTGACAGCACATTGTTTGCGATAATAACTCCATTCTGTAGTTTATAGTTTATAGTAAGACTAAAATTGTTTTTGCTTCAATTGTGTAGGTTTGAATTTGTGTCAGAACATATTATAGTGTGTTTCTTTTGGTTTAAAATACTTCATTGTTTTGTTTCTTTTTCAATTTCAGCTTCCAGCGCTGTCAGCTTTGGCAACTCGCAGACGAAGTGTACCACACACACTATCACTACCCCTCGGCTTACGACGCAGGACGTCAAGAGCTGGGAGCTCCTCAGGTATGATTACCTTATTTTTGCTGCCACTTGACACGCCATAACAGTAGTGCCGTAAATGGTCTGGGCCGGTTGTTCAAAGCTGGGTTAGTTTAACCCCATGGTTAACCTAAAATTCGAAGCAAACGTCCCGACAGCTTTTCTATAAATTTGGAAATATTTCTTCAGAGATCTTGTCTGGATCGATAGGAGTTTACTTCTCTGAAGTTTTGAAATACACAGATGTGTAGAAGTACACAAACTAAAACAGCAGGTTTAATTTTAACCCAGGGTTAGCATTAACCCACCTTTGAACAACCGGCCCCTGGTCTTCCAAGATCGAAATTTACGCTACTCCGTTATTCCGCTTATTGCACTGAAAAAAAATATAATGAAATCCATACTACGAAATTTACAATTGCACCACTAAATCCATAGTATATCCATACTATTTCCATACTATATCCATACCATGGAAATTGCAATTAGTAGTAAGGATATTTTTAAAAAATTCCAGTATATATAGTAGAATGTCTGACCACAGGTCAGACGGAATAATAAACTTCATGATCTCAGTTCCGTTTCTATACAGCCAATTCAAAAAAGGTTGTCCTTTGCAAACCTTAAACACTAAACCTTAAATTCTAAGCGCGCCAAGCTTAATGGGAGCACAAATTTCAAGCTTAGTAGTTAAATATTGCAGCTATTTGTGAATGAATTGTTCTCGTAAGGAGGTATTTACAATGTCTCTAAGAAATGGGCCCCATATATGATTTCTAAACTGATTAAATGATGCTCCCATTATGCTTTGCACGCTTAGAGTTTAAGGGTTGCAAAGGACAACCTTTCTTGAATTAGCTGTATACAGTAGAAAAAATTGCGGTTGCTATCAACATCGACATTTTTGGTTTTCAGTTATGATGAGGTGAACTTCCTTGTTTACAACAGTGAACTTCCTTGTTTACAAAGTTATCTAGTCTGCATTTGCTCGAGATCTGATAATTCCAATTTCACGTGCCTAAATTTAGCCCACCATGTGTGGGTTTAGCGATCCAAATCTATTATAGACAGCGAGATAACATATTTTTTAAAGTCAGCAACACAATGGAGAAAAAGTAAAGTTTCTGTTATCTCCAATACGTTTTGCATTGATATAAAAATTTGTCGGAACCGAACAACTAGACACACCGAAGCATTGCAAAATAAAGAATAGTGGCCTAAATGGGTTTATTTTTATGCCGAGAGATTATTAATTAATTGCATGCAGTGAAAAATAAAAAAAAAATTAATAGAATATGAAAAGTATAAAGGAAAATACGAAAATTCAAACGACAGCTGTATTTTGACAGCAGCATCCTTTTTGTTATCATTCATTTTCTCGACATGCCGGAAGTAGACTGCGAGAAGTCCTGGGAACGAGGATGACTTGAATTCACAATACCAGCTCTCGTATCCAGACTCTCTGACACAGATTGATGAGTATTCTATATTTATCTGTGACGCTAAAAATATCACTTCGTATGACATAATGAAGAACTCTGGAGCCGCGATGTTTGACTTGCTTGCCGGTTAATTGAAAAATCGACAGGGCGCCAGTTATATTTAAATTCATCATATTTCAATGAGTTTAAAAGTTATCTCAAACGTGGGTGTCCATTGTAGATACTAGTGTTCTATGCAATAACCTGCCGTGGTTTATACATGTCCGAACTACTTGAAGAAGATTAAGACTATTTTAAGTCTCCGAGCGAAGACGGAGGATTGGTCACGAGGTTAACACGCTCTTCATTTGAAACCCAAGTGTTTTATTAAAATAATCTTTTTCAGGTAGTTCAGTCACCACGGCAGCTTTTCAAATTCACAAGTTGAATGTCGCGATATAGTCGACAGCTATAGTGCGCGGAAAGTAATTTAGCCATACACATTGCTGTTTTTGCATCCAAATTGTAAAACCAAATTTAAAATAACCGATAATTGCGAATAGCCTTTTCTTTTCATGTCACCGCGTTTCGTAATTGAGTATGGCCTATTAGCAATTTTTCTGCCTGTTTATATTACTCTATATTAGTTTTCGACTATACCGTGACGCAAATTGAATAATATGCCAAAATTTTTGCCAAGTTTTGGTCTACATTCAGTCAACTAGTTCTTGTATGGTTCGAATTACCTTAAATATATTCTGAGGCAATATTTAGCGTCTTACAGCGGGACATCGAGCCTCATTATCACATTGCTCATTAAATTTAAGGATTTAATTTAAAGTCGTCTTGTAGTGTTGCTATATGCCTGCACTGGCTACAATATACACTCGACAGGTACAGTGTAACATAATTTTAACTGTGTCTTCTACAGATCACCAAAACTTAAACAGTTCATGTCTGAAGGCAAAGAACGAAATGCTAGCTACATTGTCGCTTTCTACATGGTCAGAAAATGTTTCATTAAAACACAACGAACTCTCTCGTCGAAAGAGTTGCCATACGGGATTTGGAATTATGGCTTTAAAAAAGAAAGAAGGTATGTAACAACTAACTTTATTTTTACTAGATAGATTTATCTGTTTTAAACTGTTCTCCCTAGCGGCCCAGTAAGAGCCGTCTCATATTGGTCTAGTGTTACTGCAGAAGGAAACCTAAACTAAACTAACTTTATTTTCACTAGATAGCTTTATCTGTTCTAAACTGTTTTCCCTAGCGGTCCAGTAAGAGTCATCTCTTATTGGTCTAGTGTTACTACAGGAGGAAACCTAAACTAAACTAACTTTATTTTCACTAGATAGCTTTATCTGTTCTAAACTGTTCTCCCTAGTGGTCCAGTAAGAGTCATCTCTTATTGGTCTAGTGTTACTACAGGAGGAAACCTAAACTAAACTAACTTTATTTTCACTAGATAGCTTTATCTGTTCTAAACTGTTTTCCCTAGTGGTCCAGTAAGAGTCATCTCTTATTGGTCTAGTGTTACTACAGGAGGAAACCTAAACTAAACTAACTTTATTTTCACTAGATAGCTTTATCTGTTCTGAACTATTCTCCCTTGCGGTCGAGTAAGAGCTATCTCTTATTCATAAACTTGCAAAGTTTGGTAAAATCTTGACTGGAAGCACTCCTCTCCTCACATGCGATTGAGGTGAAAATAATTTTTGACTGTTTTTTTTTTAGAAAAAAGATTAATGGTGGCACACGAAATCCTACAGACTGAAAAGAATTACATTAAGGCGCTGGAAACATTACATGAGGTGACGTAACATTTTATCTCTTGTTATTTTACTGTCGTATGTGGCCCTCAGCAGATAATGCTTCAAAGACTATTAATACATCTCTCAAATTTATTTATATTTGCCACTAAATGCTCTTATATATTCTCTATTTTAGGTGTTTACAGAACCATTAAAGAATGCCTGTGTTATTCCAGAAAAAGACATTAGAACGATGTTTCCAAAGCAGTTACTTGCAATGAAAAACGGGCATGAAAAATTTATGAATGAATTAGATGAAAGATTAAATAACTGGAAATGGCAAGGAGTTTTAGGAGATATCTTTGCTAAGCTTGGAAATTCGTATCATGTAAGTGGAAGCTTGTTTGGTGATGACGGATAAGTTTGTTTGTTTGTTTGTTTGTTTGTTTGTTTGTTTGTTTGTTTGTTTGTTTGTTTGTTTGTTTGTTTGTTTGTTTGTTTGTTTGTTTGTTTGTTTGCTACTTTATTTTGTTCTGTTTGCATTTTCATTCAATTGCTTAATATTTTTTCTTTCTTTTCAAGGTTGATTTCATGACTTTGTACTCGGAATATGTAAACAATTTTCCCAAGTCCATCGCAGTTATAAACAAGTACACAAGAAACTCGCACAAGTTTAAAAGATTTCTTGAGGTATGCTAAAAGCAACACTTGATGTTATCAATCCCTTCATAGCCCATAAGCTAATGTTTGCAATGTTATTCTTTTATAGAAATGCAGTAACGACCCAAGATGCGAACGTCTGAATATCTCGGCTTTTCTTCTTACTCCAATCCAACGTTTGCCAAGATACGTTCTCTTACTGCGGGTGAGTTTGGACTATTTTCATTTCTATTTGCAAACCAGCTATGGATGTTTGTAGAATAGTGGTTACTGCATGTACGTTTCATCTCTGTGACTAGCATTCATTTCCTGCAATATGTAGAAAAAAACTATAACAAATGTTTAATCTTCCTTGTAGCAACTTGCCAAATACACTGACCCTAACCATCCAGATAGTTTTCATATTGAGATCTCCCTGGAAAAGATGATCGACATTATCAACATCTTGAACAGTTCCATACAGAACTCGACCAGAGTTGCGAGAAATACAAGTACCAGACGCTCTTCGCGAAAAAGGTAAAATTAGTTTTCAGTTGATTTCTATTTTTACTGTCCACCCATTTCTCCACTTTTCTGTTTAGTTCATGTTTTAATTTAATTCATTCTGTTCTTATTCAAGGAGAAAAAGACATATTTTTAAACCAAAGGAATCTGTGAATTCAAATTTGACTAGCCCAAGGTAAATATCCCAGAGAACATGTCAGGATTGTTGGTGGCACAGTGTAACGTTAGTGCATGCGCTTTCTACCTCTGTGGCCGAATTTCGATTCCTGCAGTATACAGTTGTCTAATTATGATTTCGCCTCATTCACACGTGAGAAGAGTGCTTGTAGTTTGACTTGACCAAACCCTGCTTGGTGTCTCGCGGTGTTCTCGTTTCCTCCTAAGGAAAGGCCCTTAAGGCCGTTTTCCACTAGACGGAATTTTGCGCGCGGAGCGGAATTTTTCTTTGTCGTGTGATTTCTCGGGTGGAACTAATTAGAAAAGACAAAGAAAAATTCCGCTCCGCGCGGAAAATTCCGCCAAGTGGAAAACGGCCTTTAAGCCGGTTTTCCACTAGTGAATTTTTTCGCGCGAGGCGACCTTTTTCCTTTGTCGGCATCCATTTTGCCACGTCTTGCTGAGGTAATAAGTGATACCGACAAAGGAAAAAGGTCGCTAGTGGAAAACCGGTTTTACAGACTGGACCTCTAGGAGAACAGTTTGGAACTGATAGAGCTTATCCAGTATAAATATAGTTTGGTGTAGTTTTTAAAATTCTTTTCTATTTTATTCCTTTAGGAAATCTTCAGATGACTCGGAATGGTCCGAGGCCTCCGCTCCATCTACTCCGCATGCGCACGATTTACCGCTGTCCACAGACACTACTTCACCAACCGCTGAACAGAAATCGTCAGATTACGGCTCACTCACAAATAGTGAAACACCACCAGAACCAAGATCACCTTCACCATCAAGGTAAATATCATACACCAGAAGGAGTTTCTTACCACAGCTACTCGTAATGGGTTGGAGTCTTAAGATGGTTATAGTTCTGTTTTTAAGCAATATATTATACACACAAAGGGGTTTATTATAAAGATTTTAAACACTGGAAAGTGTGACTTAAATTTCAGTTTTAACACGTTCTACCACTTAATGAGAATTTGTATTAATTCTTTTCCATTTGTTTTAGTAGTTCTTCGTCAAAAAGTAGTTTCCTGAAAGTAATTCTGAGAAATAGTGGCGAGTCAAAGCGAAGTAAACGAAGACCAGTGAGTACAACTGAAGTAGAGATAATTCGTAGAAAAGATTGCTCGCAGACTCTTCCTAAAGATGCACTAACACGATCTGTCAGTCGAGACAGCATTGGAAGGTAAGAGGATTAAGAATTATTTGATCTTGGCGTGTTCAGATGGTAGCACATTTACCGTTAGATTTACCTGATAGAACTATCGACTATAAGTGTAAACTGACCCTTGATGTTTCTTCTTTTTAAAGCATGCTTCGACACAAATTTGGTAGTTTACGAAGACGACCAAGATCTAGCGATGAAAATTTGGACAAAAATCCCTCATTAGAAAGACTAAATGATTGTCGTATGGCTTCATTCAAATACCGCCGACCAACATTCCCTGGGGACGACAGTTTCAACGAAATTAATGAATGTTCGAAATCAGATAGCGATTTCTTGGAGGGGAAAAAACCTGAGGGACTTAACTCCGGCTCTAGCATGGAAAGTTGTACCGAATCACGTGAACATCTTCCATTGAGACGTGTACATTCTTCGTTGTCACGTGAACATTCTCCATTGTCACGTGAACCTTCTTCATTGTCACGTGAACATTCTCCATTGTCACGTGAACCTTCTTTATTATCACGTGAACAAGATCACAGTGACTCCGATGATTCTACGACACATCACGACAGCCGGCCAACGTCCAAGCTTGAAAGTGATGTCATTGATAATAACAACGATGACGATAAAAGGACAATGAGCCAACAAACACGAAGTTGTAAAGATGATGCAACAGACGCACAGTTGACGCGGAAAAAGTTGGGAAAACGAAACAGTTTTACAAACGCTATGAAATATTTCTTTCTTTCGAAAACAAGGTGAGAACACGTCTCAGTTACACGCAAAACATTGTTGAAACAATGGTTGCACAGTGGTGGTGTGTATGTGGCATTTACCTCTGTCACCAGGGTTCAGTTCCTGCAATATACAGTTGATGTGATTATAATTTCACATTCAGTCGCATGCAGAAGAGTGCTTCCAGTTTGACGGATACCCGCAGGTTTTTGCCTGCGTGCTTCTTCACTTTCCTTCTGCAGTAACACTGAAGCAATAAGAGATGGCCCTTTTTGATCTCTCAGAAGAACAGTTTAGAACTGATAGTGGTATACAGTATTAACTTAAGTTAACTTACAGTAGTTTAGGTTTCCTCCTAACACTGAACAATTAAGAGATAGCCCTTATCTTAACTCTAAGGGGCTGATTACATGGACCGGGCCAGCTCGGCACCATGTAATCAGCACCTAAGTATAAATAAAGTTAGTTTAGTTTAGATTTCCTCCTGTAGTAACACTGGATCAATAAGAGATGATTCTTACTGGACCTCTAGAGAGAATAATTTATAACTGATTGATCTATCGAGTTTAAATAAAGTTTGTTTAAGTACTTATTTCTATATTATCTACTTTGTAATAGATCCTCATCTAGCATTCCTGAAACAGTTTTAGACTGCGTAGGTGTGACGAAGAATCAAGATCATCTGTATAGCTCGCAATTCTCCAAAGAGAACATATCCACACTGACTACAGTGTAAATGCATCAAGATTGTAATCAATCAATAAATATATGTGTATTATTATTGGAAATGATGTTTGTAAATTATTGGTAAATTATATATAACGATAAATCAAGGGTTCATGCAGAAATGAATTTATTCCATTATTGTCAAACTTTATCTAACTTTGTTTATATCGTCGGAAGAAGATTTTTCATTTGGTTTGATTGATATATAGTGTGGAATAGGTTCGTTTCTTTGGCTCTTAAAACTAATAATAATTTATAATATTTTTAATAACAAAGTATTTATTTTCCTATTTTTTGTGTTGTTTATTTTGTTCATATAAAGCCCAGGGCAAACCAGGTAAACTTGGTTTTCAAACCATGTTTCTCAAATGTCGGCACAAAATTTCTTTCATGATATGGCCATGTTTCCCGAAGGTGAACAAACTTGCCATTTTTTGCCAGCCATGTTTTCCAACAAACTTCCCTAGCCATGTTTCCCAAAGGTGATCAAACCAGGGAACATTGTTTCTACAGCGAAAAATCATACTTAGCAAACAAAATGTATTGCTGATTTGTTGGAAAACATCCATCATCATTGTATGTATAATCTTTATTAATAACAAGCTTTCGTTGGGAGGGACGCAACTACCTGAAAAATATAAGGAGAATTTCGAGCGAAGGCCCTTTCGTCTGGAGAAATTATCCTTATACTTTTCAGGTAGTTGCATTCCTATCAATGAAAGCTTGTTCATATTATTGACACTACTTACACTGGCACAGACAGTTCAAAAATAAAGGATTATTGACCGAGCGTGAGATCTGTACTGTGAAATATCAGACCGAGGTTTTTTAGTATGGACCGAGCGACGAAGGAGCGAGGTCCATACAAAAAACAGAAGTCTGTTATTTCACAGTACAGACCGATCAAGCGAGGTCAATAATCGGTTTATTATATGGCTGAACTGAGTCTGTGAGCATATGCTTTGCGTGCGAAGTAAATCGGCTATCGCATGCATGCTCAATCAATAACAATTTGGTTGTTTGAAGTTTTTATCTGTAAAGCACAATCGGAAATTTAAAAAGCAAAAAGTTTTTCTGTTTGCAAAGCAAAAATTTCCCGCCATGCAGATAAATGACACCTGTCCAGATACGGAAAATACGGACCACGGTCCGGATATGGGTTTTACGGACCGCTTGCATGTCAACCAATCAGAATAGAGAATTTTGAAAAGCCATATAATAATAATCTTTATTAACCAATTTATGGAATTACACTCGAGAGCATACGTGTGAGTTTACATCAATATTTATGCTTCGTGCAACGCAAGTTGTGTTTTCGCAACAACGTAATTTCCAAGGCTAGTTTGCCCAGCCACTTATAAAGATTGCAATTAAGCTACTTCACTTCCTAAATTAATGGCCAAACATTTATGAAAGAATCCAACCAATTCAGAATGAAAGTACTATGATTATTTAATTATCATTGATTCATATTGTATCAGTTCTAGTTCAACATAGAGTTCCACTGGGATCACCAACCCAGGGATAACATTTTAAACACTCTTTCAAGCATGAAAACAAATAATGCACAGCCGGTTGACCTCTCTGCACCAGTTTCCTGTCGGCGTCGTATCCACACACGGTCTGAGTTGAAGCATCACACTGCAAGGGTGGAGCGGGCTTGTCGCACTTCCACGGCGCGAAGTCTGAAAGGTTGTCGAGAGTTGTCGGATTCTGAATCCACTCAATTGCTTGTGGGATGTTCACGATCCAAACATCTTTCATTGCGAGAATTTGTTGGAAAAATTTGCTGAGAGCTTGAACGACAAAAGTTTAAAATAAGAATTGAGAGTATGGCCCCACACTTAGCATAAATCTGCATAATAATAGCTCCATCCAGTCACGTAATGTTCCATTCTCGGTTAGAAAATATATTTATACTGGATAGCTCCTTCAGTTCTAAACTGTTCTCCCTAAAGCTCTAATGAGTGTCACTCATTTTTGTGTCGTTTGTGCAGAAGGAAACCTAAACCAAACTAACTTTACTTATACTGGATGTCCTATCAGTTCTAAACTGCTCCCCCTAGAGGTTCAGTAAGAGTTATGCATTGATCATCTCTTATTGATCCAGTGTTACTACAGGAGGAAACCTAAACTAAACTCAGGGCCGCCCAGAGGGGGGGGGAAAGGGGGCAAATTGCCCCGGGCCCCGAGTTGCTGGGGGCCCCTGAAAAATTTTTGTTGGGCCCCAGCCTTTTTTGTGTGTTAAATATTTCCGCGCAAAGGACAAGATATCTGTTTTCTTGGGCTAAATACCGAATTTTTGCATAAAAAAATGAGATAAAGTCCCTCGAAAGCAATTGCAACGTACTCGTCCGGAAAATTTTTTTACCCCTAAATTGGTACACTGACCGAAAATTTTTTGGCGACGGGGGGGGTGGGGGGAGGTTGTTGTTCGGAAAAATTTTTCCGGGAAAATTTTTTTAGATAGGGGCCCCTAAAAAAAAATTTGCCCCGGGCCCCCGCCAACCTCTGGGCGGCCCTGACTAAACTATCTTTACTTATACTGGATAGCTCTATCCGTTCTAAACTGTTCTTCTTATTACGAACTGTGGAATCGCATCAAAAATTCGATCGTATATCGGCCACTCCCACAAACGTCTACGACCGCACCTACATAGTTTTGCATGTTTACAATTCTAATTTTGAACAGCCAATCAGGTTCTTGGTAATTGGCTGCTTAAAATTAGGATGTAAACGTGCAAAAATATGCAGGGGGTCTATTATAGGGGGTACGCATCTCCGAAAACCGCGCTGTTTTTCAAATTTTAACCGCAAACCGCGCACTCATTTCTCTTTTAAACGTAACCGCGTTCAAACCGAGGCATATGTGGTAACATATTTCGCAAAATAGTATATTCCGCATGCAACACAGTGGCGTGCTGGGTACTATTTTTCTGGGGGGAGCAGTGGGCTGGCAACCAATATGCGCCCTATAATGTGACGCCTGGTAAACGAGGGCCGAAGGCACGAGCCGAGCGCTGCAGGTGTGAGGTTTGTCTAGGGGTGTCCGGGGACATGCGCGCCAGGAAAATTTTTGAATTTAGAGTCTCTGAAATGCCATTTCCTGGACTTTGGGGGAAGATTTGACGGAAATCTAATGGTTAGGAAACGGCATTATAACGTCGAAATTTGCAATTTGGTTAGAGTAAAGTAGTAGTACTTAAATTGGGCAATATGCTAACTACCTCCAGCAATTAATCTAATCCCAATTCTATTCTCTACTGATCTGAATACATTTACAACTTACAGCTCTTTTATACAATAACACACAGAACCCACGCATATGCATTTTAAGGTTTCCTTGCCTGGCTGCCAAAAGGGCCCGTTTCATCATTATTTCATTACTTACATTACTCATGATGTTTCTTGCGCAAACAACTAAATTGCGTACACAACTTTACATTATCATAACTTCAACTATCTAATTTGCGCCGCTCTCGTGATTCGTGAAGCACAATAAAGGGCATAATATAAGGGTATAACACCAGCAAAAAAGGGCATAATTCCCGTGATCGCTTCGAAACCTGATCAATATTCCGGTAATGAGACATTGCGTGTGATCACTGATTATGTCATGTTTCTATATGAACGATTTCGTGTGAGCCGTGAGGTAGCAAATTAGCAAATACGGTTAGACAAAATAGTCTGTAATTTAATATACCACTTTCTCGCCTATGCGCTTAGTCTGTTTATAAGCGTATAAACACATCTTTTCTTGGCGGAAGTAACTATATTTTTTCGAATGCGTTTCTTCCCACCCACTTTCAAAATTCGGCGCGGGATCGGCACCCCCTTTACATTTTTGGGCCCCCCAAGAATTGCCAGCTCCCCCCACCCCTGCCAGCACGCCACTGCCGCAACATAATGTGAGGCAATAGACCTGGTCCAATAGTCAGTACGTAGTCGCCATTTCTATTGGAGTATTGAAGAGGGAGCCGTTCACAGGTTTCACGCGAATTTGGTAGTATAAGTACGAAGTCTTAGCAGTTCAAATAGCTATAAAAAGGTTTTCCTTCCATCACTGCTTATGTTTTGTGTGGGAGAAACATGCAATCAAGTTGCTTAGGTTTGATTTCATCTTTTTGGGCAAATATTTATTACTTTGAGACTGATTTCAGATCGTAATTAGTAGCAATCGGCAAGTCAGACTATTTTAAAGGCATGTTTTACTTTTACGGAATAATTTTTCCTGCAACTGAATTTTACAACCCCCGGTATTTTTTTTCCCCTCGAATTTGTAACAAATTAAGAATTTTTGGTGTTCTGGTGTTCCGTATTCCGGAATGATGCTGTTCCGGTGTTCCGTGTTCCTGATTTTACTAATAGCCCGGCCACTTTGCCCATTTGATTTCGTCTGTTTCGAGGCCCTACAGTGGAACGGCACACGCGCGCGATCGGAAGATGAATGCAATGAGCTTGTAAAATATTTCCTAACCGCGTGTTAAAAACTATCCGAAAACCGCGATTTATTTTGGTCAATAACCGAATCCGGAGGGCTAATTTCGACATTTTCCGTCTCCGCACGATTTCCAGTTAACCGCAAACCGTACAAAATAACTGGATATAACCGAAATCCGACCTCAAAATATGGCTAAAACCGCATAACCGCGAAACTATAATAGGCCCCCTATGCAGGCGCGGTCGTAGACGTTTTTGTGGGAGTGGTCGATATACGAATTTTTGATGCGATTCCACAGTTAATTCGGTGACTTTCGTAATATTTGCCGCCTTATAATCCATCCAAAAATTGCAAGGCTGCAAATAAAGTAGGTGTGTCCCTTTGTTCAGGCTACACCCTAGATCATCTTGCTCTAACAGCTTACCAGAAAGTGTATGAGAATATTTTGCAAACCAGGTTGCGTGAAAGAACATGGGAAATGGCGCTCGGTTGGTTGCGTAGTGACTTTGAAAATTTTTCATATATAGTTCTATTGCCTCTTCCTCGTTGGCTGGTGGTGCGCATGCGTCAACCATGCTACACAGTCCTCCTGCGAGATCAATCCAGTCAATCATAGGCACTTCCCATAATCCTGGATATGAATCTAAAAATTGAAGCATATAGCATGTTTGTGATTAGCAAACTAAAGGTCGCGGGTTCGATTCGCACAGCGGGCAAGCAAACATTTCAGTTTGCGCAGTGTGGACACACTCGGAGACAACATCAAAAACATCAGATATATGGCTGACTATTACAACACTATACCTTCAGGGCAGGGTGGTATGACACATTCTTGAGTTGAACTATAGTCAAACGTGTACGGCCATAGGGGAGGGTTTCTGTTAGGGGTGGGCATTGAAGACTCGAAAAGGAACTTCGCATCGTTTAACACCTTAAACTCATTTTCGCCACCGATTTGTAAAAATGGAGCTCGGAAGCCTTTCACGTCTTCTAGGGCTACGAAGCCAACTTTATTTAGAATTTCACGCTGTCCTACGATCTCTTGTTGCCATTGAGTGTAGCTAGCGTTTTTCCACCATGGGATTGGCGTGCGATGTGTGATGGTATGATCAGAGATAGCGTGGCGTTGATGGTAGAGTGAATTGACCATAACATAATCTGTCCATTCGTGCGAGACAAAGAACGTCGCTGAGATAGGGCAACCGTTCGGGTTAACTACGCCAGGGAACAGTGTTTGGTAGTACTTTATGTTTTGTCCGTTGACCGCATCGTCGAAACTGACCATGACAATTTGTGGGATTTTCGATGCAGGCAAATCGCCAGGGACTTTCGTACTAGAACAGCGACAATCAGGAAGCTTGCATTTCGCCGGATCGCACGGCGTTGCAGGGTCGCTAGCCGGACGACACAGGATGCCAGGAATTACGGCGATGCCGAATAGAGCTGTAAGAATACTGTACTTCATTTTGAGAAACTTCGACTAGTAAAGAGCACTAGATTTTTCCTCCTAGGCGTAGGTTTGTCCCTTCGAGTACCTCCGGAAGTGAGTGACCAGCAGCAAGTCTCAACTTGTCTAGTTTTGGTTGACTTTTCGCTACAGCTGTGAAATTCGTTTACAAACAAGTTAATGCTTGAAACAGGACTCCTGTCAGGAGAGCAGTAGAATTGTGACTGACAAACTCAAACCTTCTATCCTTTTATCTAGCTCACCTTCTATAAATAGTGCGCAGAAGCAAGATTTCTGAGTAAGCAATAAATTAGAATTTCTATTCTGTGGAAATCTCATGACTTCCGCGTGAGTAAATAAATTCTGAGTAAACAGGAAAGAAGATACGTAGTGGTCTCAAGTATCATTAATATTACAAAGGAAATTAAACAATCATTATATTGTTGCCTTGATATCACGGTAATAAACGCCCATTCTATGCGCCCATTTCACTGAAAATTATGGAGAATTTTGGACATCTCGCAGTTGAGGGATATTTACCCATACAAGAACTTGCGGCTAGAGCTCGACAACTGGACTCTGATTGGTTAAATAACTTCCACTACGATTGGCTACAATGTGAATCCATACACCGCTCATGATTGGCTAATATGGAATGTATTTTTCACAAAGAGGGAAGAACTTCAACACCACGCTTGTGCGCATACGTATATTTCAATAAAACTCCAATTAAACTCAAGCTTAGTAAATTACAAGTGCAAAAAATATAAAAAAACATCCTCCGATAACTTTGAAAACAAATGAAAACAAAATTTTCTCATGCATATTACAAACCTGCTAGAACCAGTCTCCTAAAGTGCGCAGACAACGGTCGTGTTTCAAGATGGCGGCTGGATTTTGAAAACATACTCAAATATATAAAAGTTTTTAACGTTTTAAGAAGTTAGGAAAACGTCGAGCGTCGTTTTAATACAGCAGAATTAAAGTTGAATTATTTTTCTATTGGATTCTGCTATGTAACTTCCGCGAAAGGTCGTTTAATGTGTATAAAACACCGAGAATTCAAGCCTGTCAACAATAAGTCAATAACTATAAATAATTGTTTTTGTTGTTTATAAAATTAATTAATTTAAAAAATCGATAACTATGTGATCAACGTCCATCCCATACGACAAAGGTAGAAAGGGTAAGTTACTTAGTGTATTTTGTATAAAATTGTATAAAATTTTGTATTAAAATGTTTAGTGTATAAAATTTGAGGAATACTTATTTTATATTTTTATGTATTATAATGTGCTGTATTTTATTCCAGGTGACTATATGTCCGGCAGCCGGACAATGTTTTGAAAAAACTAAATGTCCAGCAGTGAGCAGTATAGTGACTATAGTTAAAGGTGCTGTGACTGCTGTCTTAAGTCCGTAATGTAAACAAACGCTTTGTGTACATTTTGAACTGCTATATTTGTAAAATATGATATACGAACTGAATATATAACACTGTTCTGGTTTAGTATGCTCGTAAATGAATATAAACCAGAGTTTCAATTCAGAAAAAGTTCAAAAGATGCGAAATTTGGGCAATGTTTACATCTGTGGGTCCCCCTTTGTTCTGAGCAGAACGGATGCGCAGAACGGATCTTTAAAGTTGAATTTTTATAGGATAAACCGACTTACTGACCCCAAACCATCTCTAACCCCTAACCTTTTGAGAGTTTATAGAAAAGCCGGAAAAAAAAAGTTAAAAAAATTTTAATAAAAAAAACAATACTAAGTCAGACAAAACACATCCCGAATACGCTAACGGCAAGCTCAGTAAAAGCGCAAAGAAAAGTTTTTATATTGAACTATAGTCACTATACTGCTGGACATTTAGTTTTTTCAAAACATTGTCCGGCTGCCGGACATATAGTCACTTCATATTTTATTCATAGTATCAACTATCAAGATTTATTATGGCTGGTTTGGGTGAGTCCGAAATAGAGTCTTTCCCATCATTTGGGCAACTTCAGGGAGAACAATTTATCCAAAGTAAGCAAGAGAACAAGCATGCCAAGGAAAAGATCAGACCAAGGTTTGTCAACTAACTGTACTATATAAGGGCCTTCAGACAGTAGCGATTGGTGATATTCACAATCACCATTATTTAGATTGTCTATATTCTCTGTGGAAAGACAGTACCCCAAAAATGGCAGATATTGACCCGCGGCCGCATGTGAAAGGCTAATAACCCTTAGAAGTTCTTATGTCATGCAATATGCAAGATAATGCATAATACAAGATGCATAGACGGATTTTGTGGGGGGTGCAGGGGGGTGCTACCCCCCAATATTAGCTATAACCCCCCCAAACAAAATGTCCACCCCTCCAAAAAAAATTTTCAACTCCCCCCAATATTCGGCATAATAAAAAAATAATTAAATAGTCCACTCCAACATGCAGAGTGTTGATGATACAAAATAAACGTAGGAGTACACTCAAATAGAAAAAGACAGTGCAATACTCTGAAACTAATCGCTCCTCGCTTGCATTCACTGGTTTATTGGAGCAATTGTAAAGTTTTGAAACTCTACATACACTACTACTCCTGAATAGAGTTTGCAGTGCCTTGTCATGCAAATAGCTTGTTTGCAAGGAACGTTTGGAATTTTTACAAACATTATTTTTAGTTTTTAATTCTTTTAGGAAATAGACTTGCCTAGATTTTACACCCCAAATATTATTTACATCGGAATTGCATCATAAATTGTACTCGGATTCAAACGGCACAATGTCAATGACTTTATAAAAGTAAAAGCATATTGTGTATTGGCCTATTGGCCGAGTTTACACTTTTACAGGTTCATTTAACTTTAACTCGCTCAAGTCTCAACAGACAATCGGACATGCCAAATCCATTGATATGACAACTTCAAAAAACTTTTTTTCGAAGCTAGAAATCATGATTTTTTCAAAATTTTCCAGGGATACTTTGTTTTCTGCTCTCTAGATTCCCCCTCGCGGCTCTAGTGCTCCACCCCTGGAATATAGACCTTACTGGGGTTTGGTGACACTTTGTGTTGCTTCAGTCACCTGCTCACGGCTCACCCCCCTAAAATTTCTGGCACCACCCCAGTAATAAATATGAAAATCCGTCTATGACAAGATGACTGAAAAATGGCAAACTTCACAGGGCTATATTATCTGCATTTTACAACATTTTGCAACGAAACTTCGGAATATTACTAATTTTGTGATACTCTTTCAAGCTGTGATGAAATTTTTGTCTAGACTTGTCTAGATCAAAATTTTGTTTATTAGGTAAATAGGTCCATTTTCAATCCATCAAAACTTTAGGTATATGGATTGCATGTTTTGCAATGTGGGAACATGTGGGTCAAATATTCATTGTCTGACAGTGACATGATGTAAGGACTTCTAAGGTCAATTCTTTTGTCTGAAATATTTTTTCTTGATGAGTGGGGTGGTTTTGAAATATAAAGTGACTTATGTCTTTTTCCACATCAGGTCCTCAATTATTCGACATGGTGAATCAAAGCGAAAGAAATCCATGGTGAAGTTTGCTGTTCAAAACATTTTCTGGGGTCTACCACTCGACGAAAAATCTATTGCAGGTGATTATATTCTCACATTGCAATGGGTACAAGTTGAGGGTTAAATTACATCAGCCACAAGACTAGTGAAATATGATTGGCTAATCAGATTAAATGACTATTCATCCTTATATGAAAATAATGATAGTTTAGCTTGGAGTGTCAAGTTTAAAAATTGAGTCTTTTTGTTAAATTTTTATTTTAGCAAAATTCCACCTAAGCTACAAGTTGGTTAAAACAGAATGCAAAATTGTAAGAAATATCTTACATCAACATTGCTTTCAAGAGGTACATTAATTAAATTGAATTATACAGGGTGTCTAAAAAAACACTATGGAAATTCAACAGGCTGCCGTGCATCATAAACGTGGCTAAACAATTCAATTTTTACATAGGACGAAAGAACAGTTATTAAGCTTCTCAATGATACTTTTTAAATCGTAATGATGAGAAATGGCCACATACTCGCCAAATAGAAATTGCCGGTCGAAATCACATTCTTCCACCATTGAGAGTTGCATGGAAAACAAACAATAAACAATTCCCCAGAGGGAATTAAAATTGAATGTTAAATTATCTAAAATAAGCTCAACTAGTCAATCTTTGTCTTAGTGAGACCATAAGAACGTCCATTATTCCATTAAACATGGTTCCATTAATTTAACCACTGAACAGAGAACATTCGTAATCAAAACGTTTTACGAAACAAGTACCTTGCAGAAGGCTTGCGTTGCTTTTGGATTGATTAACTTTGCATATTTAATGTATTTCAATGGACCATTTGTATTATAGACTAAATTTTGATCTAGACAAAATTTCATCACAGCTTGAAAGAGCATAACAAAATTAGTAATATTCCAAAGTTTCGTTGCAAAATGTTGTAAAATGCGGATAATATAGCCTTGCGAAATTTGCAATTTTCAGTCATTTTGTATTGCAATTTGCTGCCAAATTTGCCCGAGATTAACGTGTTGCCATCCCAAATAAAAGAGAAAATGCGGGGGAAAATAACGCACCGAGAATTGTGCTGTGAAGTGGGCGAGATATACGATGAAATCGTTCACTTCCGAAGAAACATTTTTAAAATCCCGTTCGGTAGAGCAGGCAAAGATTACATAACTGAATTAACTTACTGGCTCAAACAATTTAACTCCAATGCTGAGTTGAACTCAATTGAATTAAAAGTATTTATGATACTTCCTTCGCTGATTTTGCAGAAGCCGTCTGCAAAGTCTAAGAGTAAAGAGCATAGTTCAGCTATCGATCGCAGATTACTCCTATGGAGACAAGGCGACGTATCACTACTAATGAAAGAAGTAAGATTTATTCAAAAGAAATTTAAATCCTCGAGGAAGGCTAGATCTATGGAAGATGTGTCTAAAACCTTTGCAAAATTGGTCATGCAAGGAAAAATCACGGCTGCTATAAAGATGTTAGATAAAGAGAGTTCATCCGGTTTATGTAATCTATCGCCAGAAGTCATTAAAGAGCTTAAACAGAAACACCCAACAGCTGCAGAGGTGCAAGAGGGGAGCCTTT